TGGAGTCAGTGCATCAAGAGACACCACACACAGACGGATCCTGGACATGGGCTTCAAATGTCGTATTCCTCTTGTCAAGCCGCTCCTGAACAACAAACGTCAGAAGTGTCTTACCTGGGCTAAAGAAAAACAGACCTGGTCTGTTGCTCAGTGGTCCAAAGTCCTGTTTTCTGATGAGAGCAACTTTTGCAATTCATTTGGAAACCAAGGATCCAGAGTATGGAGGAAGAATGGAGAGGCACACACTGCAAGATGCTTATAGTCCAGTGTGAAGTTTCCACAGTCTGTGTTTATTTGGGGAGCCATGTCATCTTCTGGTGTTGGTCCACTGTGCTTCATTAAGTCCAGGGTCAACGCAGCCGACTACCAGGAGATTTTGGAGCACTTCATGCTTCCTTCCACAGACATGCTTTATGGGGATGCGGACTTAATTTTCCAGCAGGACTTGGCACCTGCCTACACTGCCAAAAGCACCAAAACCTGGTTCAACAACCGTGGGATTACTGTGCTTGATTGGTCAGAAAACTCGCCTGATCTGAACCCCATAGATTCTCTCAGCTGTGCTCTCTCTGCAGTGCCACATGCTGATAGCTTCCATGCCCCGCCGCATTGAGGCAGTAATTGCTGCAAAAGGGGCCCAAACCAAGTACTGAGTACATATGCATGCTTATATTTTTCAGAGGTCCGATATTGTTCTATGTACAATCCTTGTTTTATTGATTGCATGTAATATTCTAATTTTCTGAGATTGTGGATTTGGGGTTTTCATGAGCTGTAAGCCATAATCATCACAATTATGACAAATCACGGCTTGAACTATCTTGCTTTGCATGTAATGAGTCTATCTCATATATTAGTTTCACCTTTTAAGTTGCATTACTGAAATAAATGAACTTTTGCACGATATTCAAATTTTTCGAGTTTCACCTGTATATATAAAGTAAACCAAGAGACTGACATCTTTTAAAGTCATACAACTGGTGATGATGATAATTTCAACAATCTGGTAATAGGAGTATGGGGAAATACTGGGAAATTCATTAGGAGTCTGTAATCGTAAAAATGTTAAGGATTCCTGAGTTGGATGGTGGATATTGTGCCAATTGCAGCACCTGCGATATATAAGAACAGAGAACATTGCTTAACTTGTTGCCGACCGCAGATAGCCGAATGACGGCTGCACTGCGGCCGGCCGGCCAGTTCTGAGTGGACGTCATATGACGTCCCCCCAGAACGCGCTCTCCTGCGCGCCCCAGGGGGCGCGCACCCGGTGATCTCCATGATCGCTGTGTCCTACGGACACAGCTGATCACGTGATGTGGTAAAAGGCCAATCACAGCGGCCTTTTACCACCTGATCAGCGGTGTCCAATGACACGCTAATCAGAGGGAAATGCAAGTGCCGGTTCTCGGCTGCACTTTCCTCACGCTGTCAGATCGTGAGGAAAGTACTGCCAAGAACCGGCAGTTGTCAGAGCGGGGATCGGCACCGATCATCAGGGCACTGATGATCAGTGCCCTGATGATCGGTGCCCAGCAGTGCCACCCGCAAGTTCCGCCCACCTGTGCCCAGCAGTGCGCCCACTAGCTCCGCCCACCTGTGCCCAGCAGATCACCCACCTGTGCCCAGCAGTGCACCCACCTGTGCCACTCTGCAATGTCACACACCTGTGCCCAGAAGTGCCACCTACCTGTGCCCAGCAGTGCCACCCACCTGTGCCCACCAGTGCCACCCACCTGTGCCCACCAGTGCCACCCACCTGTGCCCCACCCACCAGTGCCGCCCACCAGTGCCACCCACCAGTGCAGCCCAGCAGTGCTGCCAGTCAGTGCCACCAGTTAGTGCCCAGCGGTTGTGCCAGTCAGTGCCACCAGTCAGTGCCCAGCAGTGATGCCAGTCAGTGCCGTCTATCAGTACCCATCATCAGTGTCACCTATCAGTGCCGCCTATCAGTGCTGCATATTAGTGCCGCCTATCCGTGACACCTCATTAGTGCTGTCTATCAGTGCCGCCTATCCGTGCCACCTCATTAGTACTGCCTATCAGTGCCCTTTAGTGCTGCCTATCAGTGCCCATGAGTGCCGCCTATCAGTGCCCATCAGTGCTGCCTCATCAACGCACATCAGTGAAGGAGAAAAATTACCTGTTTGAAATATTTTATAATAGAAACAAAGAAACTTTTTTTTTTTTTTTTCAAATTTTTGGCAATTTTTTATTTATAGCGCAAAAAGTAAAGCGCCCAGTGGTGATTAAATACCACCAAAAGAAAGCTCTATTTGTGAGAAAAAAATGATCAAAATTGATGAAAGCTGAAAATTGGCCTGGTAAATAAGGGGGTATAAGTGCCTGGTAGGCAAGTGGTTAAATTGCAAGCAATCATGCAAGACTAAAATATTGTTTTTTGGTGGAGATGGCTTTTTAGGATATGGAATTTAAAGGATGTTAATATTTTCTGCTGTTAAATGAAGTGTGAAGTGTTCCAGTGTTCTTTAGCTGACATTTCCTTCACTCCAGGTACAAAGATGCTGCTTTGGCCTATGAGAATGCCAAGGACTGGGATAATGTCATTCGCATCTACCTGGACCATCTAAACAACCCTGAAAAAGCTGTTGCCATTGTGAAAGAGACACAATCACTGGAGGGAGCCAAGATGGTAGCCAGGTGAATTCTTTTTTTATGGGCATCCAGCTCTGAGAGATATTCAAAACTAAGGGGTTTGGGAAAAAAATGGAAATTAGTACTCCCTAAATGGCTGTAAACTCTAAACTGCAAACTGAATCTTTGTAGAAAAGTTTAGTAATATTAGAAACAATCTTTGATGGATTGATGTTCATTGTTACTCTAATTGTCACGATATAAGACACATTTTTCCTTTGTAGGTTCTTTCTCCGTCTTGGAGATTATGGATCAGCAATCCAGTTCCTCGTTCTGTCTAAATGTAACAATGAAGCATTCCAGCTTGCCCAGCAACACAACCAGATGGAAATCTATGCCGATGTTATAGGTAGATACTGACAAACGCAATGTACTGAAAGACTTCTATACTTCAATACAAACAATCAATAAGCAATAAATGCACACATAGGGGTTGATTTACTAAAACTGGAGAGTGCAATCTGGTGCAGTTGTGCATGGCAGCCAATCAGCTTTGTTCAATTAAGCTTTGACAAAAAAAAGAAAAACTGGAAGCTGAAATGTTTCCATGCACAGCTGCACCAGATTTTGCACTCTCCAGTTTAGTAAATCAACCCCAATGTACAGCAACACACAACAGCTGTTCTGCTTTGTTTACTGAAGCCAGTATAGGTGACAGATGAATTCTATTTAGTTGCTATTAGCTGCAGGCATTTGGTATTTGTGTAACACTACTCCCATAGGAGCCGCTGGATTACTGTCCAGGTCCTCCCCAAAATACCTCTACTTGGTCCCGCAGCCAGGCACATAGGTTTATTCACTTGTTTCTCCAATAATCAGCCTAGGGGTATTTTTATATATGACGAATGGGGATGGAGTGAGCCAGATTGAGACATCTGAATCTTCTTAAATGTCATATCTACATAAAAATCCACTGTCATTTTTTTCTTCTGGATTAAAGATATTGAGTAAGTAGTAGATCTCATGGGCTAGAAATCTTCTCCCCATAGTTATTCACTGCAAATGATGTCTTATAACAGAGGTATTCATGTATGTGCTACCCATAATACTAATGTCTCCAACAGTCCGTCACAGAAAAATATCTGTATATTGCAGGATCTGAGAACACCAGTAATGAAGATTATCAGAGTATTGCTCTGTACTTTGAGGGGGAAAAGAAACACTTTCAAGCAGGGAAGTTCTTCTTGCTTTGTGGTCAGCATGCAAGGGTAGGTCAATGAAATAACATTGTTTATATCAAAAACAGGTAATGAATTTAAAAATACATAAAATATGTATTTAAACACAAAAGAAAAAAACGGAGTAAGTTGTCAGCCTGCTTTCATCTTTACTGCAGGAAGCAAATCCAAGGTTTTTGCAGCAATAAACACCCCGGACCTAGAGGGAAAAAGGTCTGTGGGCGGGCATGAAAATATCTGCTATTCCATGTCCTACATCTTTATTTTGCTGAAGAAATTGAAACTTATTGGCACAGGACTGTGCCATAGGCAGTGGAGTTCCCTCCCATTGGAGTTGGGGCTGGTTTGATGCCCCTTGGTATCTGCACATTGTATATTATTGCTGCATCACCTCTACCCACTTACTGACGCCATCAGGAAATTGAGTTGATATTTGTAGTTTATTTGGCTCTCTTCGGCTCACTGAAATTTTTTTTTTTTTTCATTTTATCCTAATGTTTCTTAATTTGTAGCTTAGTGAATACTTTTCTAATTGTGTTTATTCATTTTATATTTTAGGCACTGAAACATTTCCTGAAATGCTCATCTGCAGATGAGAACACAGCTATAGAAATGGCCATCAAGACGGTAAGAAAATCCAGGACATAGTTAAAATGGATATGACTATGAGTAGAGCATCAGAAAGTTATGAGATCTGACATGGCCTTATATAGCCCCTTTTCTTTTTTTCTTCAAAATTTAACTTAAAGTATAACTAAAGGAAAAACCTTTTTTTGTAGCGTTGGATAGAGTGGAGAAGGATTAGAACCCCTGTCAGTTTATATTGCAATCCGTGTCCCTGTTCGTGAAATTCACCTTATCTATTTGTCTTGTTTACCATTATCAATTAAAGTAAAAGTAAAAGAAAATCCCAAATATTGAAGAAGCAGCATTGGATTGATGAGGTCCTCCCTTTCAGCATGTTCTTCGTCAGCACATCTGAATGCAGAACACTTGATTGGCCAAAGTCCTGCTGCTACTTCTCCTATTCTCCTAGTGCTGCTGTACAGGCTAGTCTAGTCATGTCTAGGCATCTATACAAGTTTATGCAAAGAAGATGTAATCATTTTTAAATAAATACATAAAGCATTCATTGGTATTTTTTATTACCTTGCTGGAGTTCAGCTTTAAAGCTGATCCCCAGCTTTTTGTGAAGTTTAAATATCTGTTTGGATCAAGCTGGTCCAAACAAACTTTTTACTTCACTAAGACATACAGCGGCTCTCAGCGCTGTATGGACTGTATGTAGACTTGGATACATACAGTATGCAGCAGTGGGATGGGATGGGATAGGAATTTATACAAAGCTTCCTCTAATTGGCTGAATCAGAGAGGCAGGCAGATGATGTAAAAATCTTTGCCTCAGCCAATCAGAAGAATGCATTGTATTCATTCATAGAATACAAAGCAACTCAATCTTGTTTCAGGATTAGGAAGAGAAGTTACCATCCAGAACACAACACTGTATACAGTATGTAGCTGAGGCTACATACAGTCCATGCTGAGAGCCACTGCAGTGAAGTAAATTGTTTGTTTGGACCAGCTTTGTTCAAATTAACTATTTGAACCTCATTAAAATCTGAAGATCAGCTTTATCTTGTTTCCTATTAGCAACTGTGGTTTTATTTGATACATATGTGTTCTTTATCTTGTCCTATTCATTGGTATGTTTATCTTTAGCTGATCTCCTCATCACAACTTTTTAAATCTCGGAACAGGTTGGAGAGGCCAAAGATGAGCTTTTGACCAATCAGCTGATAGACTATCTGATGGGGGAGAGTGATGGTATGCCTAAGGTAGAGTTTTCCATTCTGTTACAAATGATCAGTGGCCAACATTTATGACTAAACACATCAAAGAAAATGTGCAATAGTTTGTGGAATAACATGGCAAATGATTTATTATTATTTCAGGATGCACAATATTTGTTCCGCTTGTACATGGCACTAAATCAATACCGAGAGGCTGCCCGCACTGCAATCATTATTGCAAGGGAAGAACAGTCTGCAGGTAATGTCTGTTTTTTTGTATGTAGGGTGCAAAGTACTGAAACTCTTAGTTATCAGTCAGGTACTTACTTAGGTATTCTAACCTGGAGAAGAAAGATGACTGCTAAAATATATGGTTTCTATATCCTTCTTTTTTTATACAAGTACCTTTATAAATCATTATTCAGGATGCCTTTCTCTCCAAAGGCATATTTCTGTGTCCAGGGATTTATCTTTATCTGTGTTATTTGAAATATTATAAAATGTGACATTGTTTCAAACTCTGTGTGATAATGGACTTTCTATTGTGACCAGTCTGATGATATATGCCGGCCCGGCTGTCATTAGCAATAACAGCAGTTTTCATTTTTCTGAGCTCCTCATAACATAGTTTTCCTGCCTGTTGATCCTGCCAGTGGGTACATTATTTCCAGCTTCTCTTAACAGGTTGATAATTCTGTTTATTCTGAAGTGAAATCTCAGAACAATAGGGTAGTCTTAGATTTTTTTTCTCAAAACAATCTTAGTGATGGTCAACTTGAAAATTATAGGGCCTCAAGCGTGGCCCCTGACACTTTTGAGAGGGTCACACAATAGTAGTGCATTGAGCTGCATTGGGTCAAGTTAGGCAGCCTTTTCAAAATGAATGAGCTGTAACACACCTTGACACTTAAAAATCTGGCCTTGAAATTTCAGCCTCTTCATTTTTTGCAGCATATCACAATGCACAATGATGTAACTGGGAATAAATTAAGCCTCATCATTTATGTCAGTGCACGCAATCAAAATCCCCAGTGTTGGTGCCAGTGGATGCAATAACCTGCAGCATTGGTGTTAGAGACCACAGTAATAACCCTCAGCATTGGTGTCAGAGACAGAAATAATAACCTGCAGCATTGGTGTCATTAGCTGCAATAATAACCCCCTTCATTAGTGTCAGACATTGCAATTATAAAGCTCAGCATTGGTGTAAAAGACTGCAATAATCATCCCCTGCATTGGTATCAGTGGTTGCAAAATATCCCCCAACATTGGTGTCAGCATTATTAACCCCCCCCCCAATTCCACCACATTAGTGATCCCCAGCCACCCCACTGCTGATTTGTAACAGCTCCCCAACAGCACTCCCCACCCCAACTTGATCACCTTGCTTTGGTGATCACGTACCTAATAATACGTTCCCATGTCACTGTGCCTCCCTGAGGTCGGGATTTTAACTGTGGGCGGAGTATAGTCTTTATACAGTTGCAAGAAAAAGTATGTGAACCCCTTAGGATTACGTGGAGTTTTGCATGAATTGGGCATAAAATGTGCTCTGAATGTCATTTAAGTCACAACAATAGAAGAACACAGTCTGCTGAACATAATACTACACAAACATTAGATGTTGCCATGGTTTAATTGCACATAACATGTAAACATTCACAGTGCAGGGAGGAAAAAGTATGTGAGGCCCTAGCTTAATGACTTCTCCCAGAGCTAATCGGAGCCAGGAGTGAGCCAACCTTGACTCCAATCAGTGTGATGATATTGGATGTGTTGCTGACAGCTGTCCTGCCCCTTAAAAAACACACACCTGTTTTGGGTTTACTGGTTTCAAGAAGGACTGTCTGATGTGAACCATGCCTCGCAGAAAAGAGCTCTCAGAAGACCTACGATCAAGAATTGTTGACTTGCATGAAGTTGGAAAGGGTTACAAAAGTATCTCCAAAAGCCTTGATGTTCATGTGTCCACGGTAAGACAGACTGTCTACAAATGGAGAAAGTTTAGCACTGTTGCTACTCTCCCTAGGCGTGGGTGTCCTGTAAAAATGACTGCAAGAGCACAGCGCAGAATGCTGCATGAGGTAAAGAAGAATCCCAGAGTGTCAGCTAAAGACCTACAGAAATCTCTGGCACATGCTAACATTTTTGTTGACACATCTACAATAAGAAAAACATTAAACAAGAATGAAGTACATGGGAGGACACCACGGAGGAAGCCATTGCTGTCCAAAAATAATATTGCAGCACGTTTGAAGTTTGCAAAAGATGTTCCACAGCGCTACTGGCAAAATATACTGTGGACAGATGAAACCAAGATTGAGTTGTTTGGGAAGAACACACAACACTATGTGTGAGAAAAAAAGGCACAGCACACCAACATCAAAACCTCATCCCCACTTTAAAACATTGTGGAGGGAGCATCATGGTTTGGGGCTGCTTTGTTGCCTCAGGGCCTGGACGGATTGTTGTCATTGATGGGAAAATGAATTCCAGAGTTTATCAAGACATTTTGCAGGAAAACGTACAACCATCTGTCCGCCAACTGAAGCTCCGCAGAGGATGGGTGATGCAACAGGACAATGACCCAAAGCATACAAGTAATTCAACAAAACAATGGCTGCAACAGCACAGAATACGCCTTCTGGAGTGGCCCAGTCAGAGTCCTGACCTCAACCCAATTGAAATGCTGTGGCATGACCTTAAGAGAACGACATCGCACCAGACATCCCAAGAATATTGCTACACTGAAACAGTTTTGTGAAGAGGAGTGGTCCAAAATTATTCCAGATCGTTGTGAAGGTCTGATCTGCAACTACAGGAAACGTTTGGTTGAGGTTATTGCTGCCAAAGGAGGGTCAACCAGTTATTAAGTCCAAAGGTTCACATACTTTTTCCTCCCTGCACTGTGAATGTTTACATGTTATGTGCAATTAAACCATGGCAACATCTAATGTTTGTGTAGTATTATGTTCAGCAGACTGTGTTCTTCTATTGTTGTGACTTAGATGATGTTCAGAGGACATTTTATGCCCAATTCATGCAAAACTCCACGTAATCCCAAGGGGTTCACATACTTTTTCTTGCAACTGTATCAGTGCTGGTAAGTAGAGTGATCTAAACTCTCGGCGCACTGCTTACTGCGGACCGTGTGTTGGACACAGTGATCGATGCTCAAGCACTAGGGGCACCAGATTCAGATGCTTTTGTAGTACTTCATGAAAGGCAGCAGTGTGAGTGGTAGTGTTAGTACTCTTTACACCAACAGCTGTAATAAGTCCATTCACACAATAAATATTTGTCTAATTTTCTGGAGTTACTAAGTATTATCATTGTTCTTTTTTACATTGAAAGGTAACTACCGGACTGCACATGACGTTCTTTTTAGCATGTATATGGAACTGAAAACACAGAAAATTAAGATCCCAGCAGAAATGGCTACAAATTTAATGATACTTCATAGCTACATTCTGGTTAAGGTATTGTTTCATATATTATTGCACATCAAATACCAACTCTCATTTAGAATACTCATCTTAAATGAAAGTGATACTAAAGTTTCAGATTTTTTGTTCTAAAAATAACAAACATGTCATACTTACCTGCTCTGTGCTCTTGTTTTGCACAAAGCAGCCCTGATCCTCCTCTTCTCCAGTCCCCTGCCAACGCTCCTGGCTCCTTCCACAATGCTGAATTCCCCCAGAGCATGCCGCTTGCTATTGGGGCACTCTAGCTTGCTGGCTCCAGAGTCTATTAAACACACAAGAGTGTGACTCGGCCCTGCCCCCCACTCTCTCCTCACTGGCTGTGATTGACAGCAGCAGAAGCCAATATGCTGGAAGAGACCCGGGAGAGCTGCTACTCTTACACTGTAGGTTTTTCAATTTCATGCATAGAATGCACGAAGGTAAAGAACCTTCGGCCTTTAGAACCCCTTTAAATTTATCTGCATTGCCCTCAACCAAGTTCAGACTTCTAGATTGCTATTTTTGGGGAATATTTGAAACTGACTAGTGTCTGTGGGCATTAAAAACAGATCATATCTGCGATTTTTAAAAATAATTACTTTGGCCATAAACTTAAATTAATTGGTGGCCCTTAAAGTGGACTTCACTCAAGAAGTGAAGTCCTGCTGATTTGCTCCCTCTCCTCAGCCGGTTACCGAGTCATAGGTTTTTTTTCGGGGGGGGGGGGAGAGCAAGTCCCCTCTCCCACTTCTACAGTCATCGCCTAAGCCCATACACAAAGCACTGCGCAAGGTCGCACATGTGCAGTGGGAGGGGGGGAGTTTGATGTGCTTCCTCAGAGAGCCATAGCTGGCTCCTGTATCCAAGATGGCGGGGACGACAACCCGCAGTGGTAAGAAGAACCGGCTGCAGGAAGACAGCACTAGACCCCAGGCACTGTGAGTACCTGATTTTTAAAAGTCAGCAGCTACAGTATTTGTAGCTGCTAACTTTTAAAAAAATTAAACTGAAATTCCTCTTTGAAAGTCTCGTCATTTTAAAATGTGAAATCTCAAGGACTTTACAATTAACATACCTATTTTCAGTAGCCAGCAATGTAACGGTTACATCATAGCTTTTTTCTGCTCTGTTTTCTGTGGCTGCTAAGGGGTCCACTTTACTCTTGGCACATCTCCACCTAGCTGCACCACACAGTCCCTTTTGGATTACACGTATTTTCCTTATCTTTCTACCTACATTTTTTCAATATTTCATATCAGGGACAAGGGTTTCCAATACCTTTGTGGACCCTATGTGGTGACAGACTGTCTTGGCTCCAGCTGTTGTAACACAAATAAATACTGTATTATGTAGCCTAATTACAATGTACTTTTTAAATATATTTTAGATCCATGTTAAACGTCGAGACCACATGAAAGGAGCCCGGATGTTGATACGTGTAGCTAACAACATTAGTAAATTTCCTTCCCGTAAGTACCAAGAGAGCAATTTTGTGATATTGGGGTAGCTGTTTGTATTGTATGTATTTTCTTCTGTTCATTGAACTTTATTTCCTTTGTCCAGACAGAGTAGCGTGAAGTGTGGACTTCTTGAAGCTTTGAAAAGCTCTGGACTCCATGCAGCTTTCAGCCGCAAACTTTTGCTGTTGTACAGTGTTGTGCTTTGAAGCTCCATTACAGCCCTTCATTTGAAATATATTTCCTAATAGCCACAAAGGATATTAAATCCACTTTTGTATATACCAAATGCATTAACATACCGAGAGATTACCTTGTATATGTAGTGATGACATCACCACCACACTGCACATTTTCTTGTGCAAAGAGCAGAGCTATGGGTGGGATCCAGCAGGCCCATCCACTACAGGCTGGTGGATACAAGACCAGTCACTCTGCACAAGGAGAGAGAGCAGTTGTAACTGGTCTTTATTACAGGAACCTTCTGGACAGAGACAGTGCAGTTGTGTCATGCTTGATTGCTGCACTAGTCTGGAAGAAATACACACAGGTCTCCTGGATTTAAATAATAATACACATGCCTTTTATATTTAGACAATATTATGTTAACCTTAGAACAAGAATAATCAGGGGCTTCTGATTTCCTGCTGTGTGGAGATAACGCATTCTTTGTCCTTGTAGACATAGTCCCGATCTTGACATCTACAGTGATTGAATGTCATAGAGCTGGTCTGAAGAACTCTGCCTTCAGTTTTGCTGCAATGTTGATGCGACCAGAGTATCGCAACAAAATAGACGTCAAATACAAGAAAAAGATTGAAGCGATGGTCAGGTAATATGGTGATACGCTGTGTATGTGGTTTTATTTGTAACATTTATATTTACAAGTGACTTGTTTGTCTGTTAGGCGTCCAGACACCTCTGAGGTGGAAGAAGAGAGCACTGCCTGTCCATTTTGTGAGTTCAAACTCCCAGAGTGTGACCTTCTCTGCCCTGGCTGCAAGAATAACCTACCATACTGTCTAGTCACTGTGAGTACAACTAACTTCATGGGGCCTTACAGTGTCAAATAAAGTATTATTATCTTTACCCCTTTCAAGGCCAGAAGTCACTGAACACCAAATGTAGCAGTGTTACTACATGTCGGTCAACATAATTACTCTGTGACTAAGCTACCTAATGTGTTTACTGAACTGGCCTATATTTGGTGCACTGATTTATTAGGTACCTTGGACTTGTTTTATATTATAGGCTGACAAAACAGAGAATGGTTAAAAAAAAACAAAATGTGATTGTGTTTGCAAAACACATACACAGCTTGTCTACTCCGATTGTCTGCTCTGATGATCACATAATTGGGTACCAAACAGACTATCAAATAAGGAATGTAGATTAAAGTCCTCTGGGGATTAAGGACATCACTGCACAAATTGCAGATAATCCAAATACTAGTCTGGAAAAAGACTGAGTTTTAAAGAATACTAAAATCACTGGAACCTGATAACCACTTGATTCCTAGGTGTTGTTTCAAAACAGGCCAGGGACAGCAACTGTTTGTCCCAGGCGCCATTTTAAAATAGCAATCAGACTCAGCTTGGTACCCAAAGCACTGGAACCACTGACTGTCAGTGACAGCTGGAATCCAGCACTAAACCATGAAAGATCATCTCCTGAGCTTCGGATACTTCTACAGATTGCTCAATAGGGAGTGTGCTGTGGAGGTGATTGCAAACACAATGTTACCACATTGAGAGAGCATTGTGATGGCACTCCGCTGTCACTATGGAGGCTCAGGGCAAAAGGTGTTGCAGCTCTGTCCAACCTTTCCCTACAGCAGTAGATCGGTGATAAAGGGCCAATTGCAACCAGCAATACATAGCTATAGAAGTGATCAGCTGCTTGGGGGTTCTGGATTTGGTGTCCACTGACTAAATCAAGACCCTACATGAAGAAACGGAAAATATGTGTATGTATGTGTATATATGTATGTGTGTGTGTGTGTGTATATATATATATATACACACACACGCACACACATAGACATATTAAAAATATTGCCTTTGAACAATGATGTTGGTTCATCTACATAACATTTGTGTTTACTGCACAAGCATCCAAGTTTTTAATAACAAGCCTGTGAAAAAGTTGCTGTTCTAATTTGTGGCATAATCAGACCTAATCCTACCTTAATACTAAGCTAAACATTTTTCCCAAAGTAAAACACGTGTTCACTGTGAAATGTACTATTCCAATACAGGTCTCTACACTAAAGTCACACTAATGTGATATTTTAGTCAGCAGACTTTGTTGATTATATTTTGGGGTAAACCTTAAGGGACCCATGAGTATGTTTTATCAAAGCTCTGGGTAGTTATTAAGGATACAGGTGAGCCTGTCATTGACCATAATCCAGTTACGTTTACTCGTCACATAGTCAAGGGGGACCATCAGCTTCTTCCAATACTTGGCAATAGTAATTCTTGCTTCCAAAAACATGCGATTCGTTTCGTTGACCTCTTGGGAACTACATCAGGGAATGTTTGGAAAAGGGCGGTTTCAGGGGATCTGTGGCTATTTACTCCCGTCACTGAGTAGATCAGATTTAAGATCCGTAATTGCACTTTAATAGCATGTTCACATATATTTTAGTAGATACCTGCTTTGTAACTGCAAATTGTCAGTATCAAACATTCTGACAGCCTCCCAGCTAGTTACCAGGCTTGCCTCTATGGTTTCAGTGTTTGACAACATTCACTGTACTTATTCTAGCTTAGTGACTCAGAGTGAAGTCAGAACTCCTCCCCTGCATAATTGTTCCAATTCTGACTCTGAAAACAAAGATCTTACATGACAGCCAAGCAATTCTTGTAACAGATTTCACATAACCTAGTTGTATGGAGTTATTAACACTAGAGCAGTGGTTCTCAACCTTTCTAATGCCGCGACCCCTTAATACAGTTCCTCATGTTGTGGTGACCCCCAACCATAACATTATTTTCGTTGCTACTTCATAACTGTAATTTTGCAGTGGGAGGAATAGTGCCCCATCATTGGTGTCAGTGGGAGGAGTAGTGCCACATCACTGATGTCAATGGGAGGAATAGTGCCCCATCATTGGTATCAGTGGTAGGAATAGTGCCCCATCATTGGTGTCAGTGGAGGAATAGTGCCCCATCCTTGGTGTCAGTGGGAGGAATAGTGCCTCATCATCGCTGTCAGTGGGAGGAGTAGTGCCACATCATTGGTGTCAGTGGGAGGAATAGTGTCCCATCACTGATGTCAATGGGGAGGAATAGTGCCCCATCATTGGTATCAGTGGTAGGAATAGTGCCCCATCATTGGTGTCAGTGGAGGAATAGTGCCCCATCATTGGTGTCAGTGGGAGGAATAGTGCCCCATCGTTGGTGTCAGTGGGAGGAATAGTGCCCCATCGTTGGTGTCAGTGGGAGGAATAGTGCCCCATCGTTGGTGTCAGTGGGAGGAATAGTGCCCCATCGTTGGTGTCAGTGGGAGGAATAGTGCCCCATCGTTGGTGTCAGTGGGAGGAATAGTGCCCCATCGTTGGTGTCAGTGGGGGGAATAGTGCCCCATCGTTGGTGTCAGTGGGAGGAATAGTGTCCCATCGTTGGTGTCAGTGGGGGGAGGAATAGTGCCCCATCGTTGGTGTCCGTGGGGGGAGGAATAGTGCCCCATCGTTGGTGTCCGTGGGGGGAGGAATAGTGCCCCATCGTTGGTGTCCGTGGGGGGAGGAATAGTGCCCCCATCGTTGGTGTCAGTGGGAAGTATAGTGCCCCATCGTTGGTGTCAGTGGGAGGAATAGTGCCCCATCGTTGGTATCAGTGGGAGGAATAGTGCCCCATCGTTGGTATCAGTGGGAGGAATAGTGCCCCATCGTTGGTGTCAGTGGGAGGAATAGTGCCCCATCGTTGGTGTCAGTGGGAGGAATAGTGCCCCATCGTTGGTGTCAGTGGGAGGAATAGTGCCCCATCGTTGGTGTCAGTGGGAAGTATAGTGCCCCATCGTTGGTGTCAGTGGGAGGAATAGTGCCCCATCGTTGGTGTCAGTGGGAGGAATAGTGCCCCATCGTTGGTATCAGGGGGAGCAATAGTGCCCCAACATTGGTGTCAGTGGGAGGAATAGTGCCCCATCATTGGTATCAGTGGAGGAATAGTGCCCCATCATTGGTGTCAGTGGAGGAATAGTGCCCCATCATAGGTGTCAGTGGAGGAATAGTGCCCCATCATTGGTGTCAGTGGTTGGAATAGTGCCCCATCATAGGTGTCAGTGGGGGGAATAGTGCCCCATCGTTGGTGTCAGTGGGAGGAATAGTGTCCCATCGTTGGTGTCAGTGGGGGGAGGAATAGTGCCCCATCGTTGGTGTCAGTGGGGGGAGGAATAGTGCCCCATCGTTGGTGTCAGTGGGGGGAGGAATAGTGCCCCATCGTTGGTGTCCGTGGGGGGAGGAATAGTGCCCCATCGTTGGTGTCAGTGGGGGAGGAATAGTGCCCCATCGTTGGTGTCAGTGGGGGGAGGAATAGTGCCCCATCATTGGTATTAGTGACACCAATGATTGGGCACTATTCCTCCCACTGACACCAATGATACTTACCTTGCTGACCCCTGCTCCAGCCTGGGCTCGCTCCCTCCCTCTCCCATGGTACAGACACACTTACCGGTCAGATGTCTTCCTTCTCCGGCCGCTCTCCTCCTCTTCACTCGCTCGATCTTCGCGGTGCCGCTCGGCTCCTCCTTTCCAAGCTCCACCTCCTCGCCGGTGATTGGCCGCCTGTGTGCCTCTCCTGAGCTACAGTTCCGGCGGCCAATCACCGACGAGGATTGATCCCGGGGGTGTGTCCAGATGACAGGGACGGCATGTCATCCCGCCCACACCTGGAGACGGGATAGAGGAGCGGTGTCTCGGTTCCTAAGGCCATTGGAAATATGTGTTTTCCGATGGTCTTAGGTGACCCCTGGGAAAGTGTCATTCGACCCCCAAAGGGGTCGCGACCCCCAGGTTGAGAACCGCTGCACTAGAGGTTCAGCTGCTGTGGATAAGTGGTTAGCCTTTCCGCCTGGCAGCATTAGGTTGGTTTGCATCTCAGCCATGGCACCACCTACCTGGAGTTTGTATGTTCTCCCTGTGCCTGCGTGGGTTTCCTTCGGGTACTCCAGTTTCCTCCCACACTTCAAAGACAGGTTAATTGGCTCCTGTCTAGATTGACCCTAGTATGTGCATATATGAATGTAAGTTAGTGACCTTAGATTGTACGCCCCTGGAGGGTTAGGGACTGATGTGAATGTACAATATATATGTAAAGTGCTGCGTAAATTGACGGCGCTATCTAAGTACATGTAATAAGTCTTAGTGTACAGAATTTGTTTATACATATTTGCCAGTAAAACTTCAGCTACTGCATTTAAATTCACATTTTGTTTTTTTTTTAGGGCCGACACATGGTGAAAGATGACTGGTGTATCTGCCCCTATTGTGAATTTCCAGCCCTTTGTTCAGAGTTTAAAATGTAAGCTGTGTGTGTCGGGGGGGCAGTAACCTGTGAGCTTTGGCTAATGTCAGATGCTGCAAAAACACTTTTAAGTTGACAAAGGGGGACTAAACGCTATCCTTTACAGCCAAGGAAGCTGCCATCTAAGCCTCTTATCTGCAGTTGCCATTGTGCTGCACATGTGATCAGTTTTAACAGCAGCCAATGACAATTTGGTTGAGAGCACAAGCAACTGTGACAGTTATATAAAAGTCAACAATGTGCCCTATAACACGTCAGCACATCACACATCTGTAAAATAGCACCATATAAAACAATGGTTGACCCATGGTAAATGCATACAGTAGACCCTAAACCGATAGATCACATCTGTTGGAGTTCACCAGCTTTGCTGGTTTATAAACTGGCTCTGGAATCAGGACTAAGTAAAGCGAACTGATGTACCTTATCCAAGATCTGACAAGAATTGGCCCCATATTTATCCTTCTAGAATCAGGTGTTTATTCCAAAAGCCCTACCAATCCCCATCTTTTGAAGAAAAAAAAAAAGATACTCCAATGTGGTGGTAAGGAGCACTCACCACTGATGGTGCACTAAAAAGGTGTTAAGGGAATTAGGTGGGAATCTAAATTAACCACTTGCTGCCCAGTCACTGTACATATACGGCGGCAGGGCGGCACTCGCAGGCAAAACCACATTTTAAAACGTGTGTTTTGTAAACAAATAGGGGGCGCGCCGCCGCCCTATCTGTCCCGCCGATCACCGCCGCAGATTTGAGTCGCCGGGTCACAGCTGCTCCTTAGCGGCTGTTTCCCGGCAATCGGCGACAAACAGTGACAGACAGCACAGCTGCAGTAGCTGTGCTGTCTATGTCACTTCCCTGTCAGCTCGAGGATGAGCTGATCGAGAAAGAACAGTTTCTCTTTCTCGATCAGCCTTGTCCCGTCCAGTACACCCCCCCGCCCCCTAGTAAAACACTCCCCTCACTCCTATAACCCTTCCCTGCAAAATAAAGTTAACCCCTTCCTCCCCATTGCCATTAGTACAGTGTCAGTGTTTTTTTTTTTTTTTTTTGCACTGATCACTGTATTAGTGTTTTTGGGGATGTCAGTGATCCCAAGTCAGTACCCCCCAATGTCAGAATGTCCGCCACAGTCCCGCCATAAGTCGCTGGTCGCTGCCATAAGTCACTGATCGCCGCATTTTGGCAGAAATTTATGACTAAATTTGATTTTTGCATTTTTTTTTTACTAGACATGTTTTATAGCAAAAAGTCCAAAATATTTTTTTTTTTTTCCTCAAAATTGTCAGCCTTTTTTTTTATAGCGCAAAAAATAAAAACCGCACAGGCGATCAAATACCACAGAAAGAAAGCTCAATTTGTGGGGAAAAAAAGGATGTAAATTTAATTTATGTACCATATTGCATGACCGCGCAATTGTCCGTTAAACTAGCGCAGCGCTGTATAGCAAAAAAATGGCGTAAATTGCAGTATCTATACCATATTTTTGTAGACGCTATAACTTTCACACAAAGCAATCAATATACACTTATTGGGATTTTTTTTACCAAAAACATGTAGCAGAATACATTTTGGCTTAAATTTATAACTGACTTTGAGTTTACTGTATATTTTGTATAGCTGAAATTAAAAAATATTGTTTTTCTTCAAAATTTTTGGCATTTTTTTGTTTATAGCGTGAAAAATAAAAAGCGCACAGGTGATCAAATACCACCGAAAGAAAGCTCTGTTTGTGTAAAAAAAAAGGACGTAATTTTCGTTTGGGTGCAGCATTGCATGACCGCGCAATTATCAGTTGAATTAGTGCAGCGCCGAGTAGCAAAAAGAGGCCTGGTCATTAAGGGGGGTAAATCCTCTGGAGGTCAAGCGGTTAAAGTGTTACTAAACCCACAACAGTAAAATCAGTCTGTATATGCAGTAAAGCATGCTTGTTATACTCACTGCGGAACCTAAGGGGTTACTACTCTGAACTGTGTAAAAAGGATGTTTGATCTTGTCTCTCTGATCCTCCCCTTCTTCTATAGTCCCCAATCCATCTACTGATAGGGCAGAGCCCTAGGAGATACTTTGCACATGCTCAGTATGGTGTGTATTGCTAGAGGTTTTTTTTTGGGGGGGGCATGTAATCAGCACAGGGCCAATCAGCACTGTCCAGAGGGTCAGGGGTCATGCTGCCTCATAGGACAGTCAGAGGAGAATGAGAACTCCACCTACAAGCTTTAACCAGTATTCAGCCAGACACTGATAGAAGTCACGAGACTGCTATATACTGCTGATGAGAAAAGGTATTTAGCACTTTATATTTACTAAAATAATTGCAGTTCTGTGTACTGTGGGAGGCCAGATATAGTGAATGCGGGGTCCAAGGTTTAGTAACACTTTTAGTGTGTTTTTATCTTTTGCACCATTTCTTTCCTCTGCCATTTTCATATTGATCTATAAGTGAAATAGGGCAAAGCTGAAGCGCAAACTGGAAACAATAACGTGAAGCAGCTTTAGAAATAGACTATTACTTTTGGGAAGGGACATTTGGGTGCTGATGATTTTGTATATTTCATATAGATGTTGAAAGTATTCATGCATTTATTTTGGTACATGACATTTTGGTGTGATGGTGTAATCACTAGCATTGCTATGAGAAAATGTGCTGCTAAGAGATTATTTACGCCCTTCATAATTCCTTATTTCTTTCAGACTGCTGGAATCAGAAAGCATCTGTCCCATGTGTTCAGAAAGAGTAACAGCCAATCAGCTAAAGAGGGTGTCTGACTGCTCTGTGTATCTCAGACAGGAGCAGGATGATCAGTAATGTAAGGAGCCGTGTTCTTTTACTCTGTGATTATAGTGTATTAGCTGTTTGTGATATGTGGATGTTAAAGAAAGCAATGCCAGAATATCCATTTTTCCCCTTATGTAGTTAAAGTAACTTGTCATGAGAGGAATACAAGGCCTGCCATTACTAACCAACTTGTAAAAACCACTTGCTTACCCGCCTGTTGTGATGATCCACTGCCTTCAATACTTGAAGTCACTGACTTGGTATGGAGGTTCTTATCAGCAAATTTGTTCAAGGTCATTCATTTAAAATATTGAACTAGGAGAATCAATATGACAGCCAGGAAATCAGTGCAGTTTTCTTCATAACAGGTTTCCTTAGCCTGGGTTCACATTACAGCAGTGCTGGAACTCACGTTATTTGGGCAGGAATCCCACTGCAGTCATGCTCAAATCACAAGTGCAGACATTTTTTTTCTTCTTCACCAGAATCAGATCGCATAGGTGTTTACACCCATGTGATCCGATTCTTGCAAGCGCACTGTGGTTTGTGACCTGTTTTGGAGTGTCATTCATTTAACATTGACACCCGTGGCAGATCATATGCATGGAGTGTGGTTTCAGTGCAGTACCAAAAATGCTCAGGATTCGCTGCCTTTTCTGCACTGCATATATGTGGACCAGGTCTTAAAGTTTATATTAAAATGGCAGCCTGTCTGCTTGATAAAGAAACCTTTCATGCATGTTTCTGACCAGGGGCGGACTGACCATTGGGGAACATGGGCACTGCTTGAGTGCCCGGGGTCAGTAGTGGGCCCGGGGGTGCCCGGGGTCAGTAGTGGGCCCCATGAGATGTCCCTGGTACCTTTCATAGGCTTTTTTTGGGTGTGGTTTGAGTGTGGGCGAGGACATAGGAGCCCCATGAGTTGGCAGTCCGCCCGTTTGTGACCACACCAAGCTTAGACGCTAGATCCGTGGTCAGTTTGCATCTCCTCTTTGGAACATACAGGGCACCATACTGGTGTGCGGCAGTAGATTGTTTCCTGACACAGCCGTGCTCAGCTTGAGTGACGCAGGTCTCCATGTAGTGAAAGATCTCCTGCAACCTGTGATGTCAGCAGAAGCCTCCAAGATATGAGATGTGTGACTAGTCATGTGACAAGTTCTGTGGGGTGATCAGAATTTACTTTTACTATTTTCATGTTTGGTGTGGCAAAATAGGCAGGTGAGCCTTCTTAAATTCTGTCGTTGGCATTGTACAAATGCTGTGGCAATTTTAATTCAGCTTGCAGAGTTTGCTATGTGGCATTAAGGTTAATGGGTACAAGCCCCAAACTCATGGGCTCTTGCTTGCAGGATCGCCTCCCGAATGCCTGGTAGTTACTGCTTTACCACCCTCTGAAAAGCCATCCACCACATATCACTTTTCAGAGGGCAGTAGACACTGCCTTTAGAGTGCATTCTTAATATGATAAAGGTCTAGTTTAAAGGCTCAGCTGCAGAGGAAATTAATATCAATGATGTCACATGGGGCGGGGTCACTCAAGTGATGTCTTTGGTTGGCCCCACCCCTTACATATTTAAGAATGGTCAAGCCAGCTCAGGGCAGAGGGCTGGAACTTTTTTTTTTTCTTCTTCTTTCGGGTTGGCAGTGGGCATCGTGATTGACATTGGATCTACTGCGGGGGACATTATTTGCTTTTTCTTTTAATAAAGGACTTGTCAAAGACCATATCCTGTCTTTTTTCACACGGGCATGTGGCCCGTATGTGGTTCAGGGGGGGGGGGGGGCGCTTGCTCGTTTCCCCCCCTTACCTGACCTGCCTGCTCAGCTAAGGGTCTGGTATGGATTTGGGGGGGGACCCACACGCTTTTTTTTTTTTTTTTTTTTAATTTTGGAGTGGGAGATCCCATCAAAATCCATACCGGACCTAAAGGGCTTACTATGGATGTGAGGTGGGACCCCACACCGGTTGTTTAAATTTTTTTTAATTGCCGGCTATTCTTTTACATTCAGCTGTCAGCTGAAACATTAACACATGGTTGTCACTACTAAAATACCGCAAGACTTGATAAAAATAACTCATGTGGTATTTTAGTAGCGTTTACTTTTTTCTGACCTCAGTTACAGATTAATTGGTTTTCAATGTGTTCCTATGGGAAATGGCGTTTCGGTTTACAAATTTTTCGCTATACGAAAAGTCCTGAAGAGCGAATTAAATTCATAAACTGAGGTATTACTGTATACAGAAATGTTTTGCCTTCATTTCTATTTTAAACTGAATGGTTTGTTTTACCAAGTGAGGGTTTACATACACTTTAATCTCCAACTGCCCCAGTTCTGCCCAATAGCCATTTCAAAAGGAATAAAGCTCACCTCTCTTGGCTGTTTGACTTCAAATTGCATTTGGGGCCATGTTTTCTGGCCTCACAAATTTAGGTTCTATAACATATGTTACTGAAAACAATTCATATTTGCTGCACTTTAAAATATTTTATTTCTGTTCTAGGCATGTCGGCTTTTTGACTTCTGATGGAGTTAACATTTACCTACAAAAATAAAAAAAACACTGTAAAAAGTTGTTCCAGCTTTGTATAAAACTTTGAAATGTATATATTTCTTATTGTGATTTGGCATTTATTTTAAATAAATATTTCTAATAAACATGAGCCCAATTTTGCAGCCACATTCCTTTGACATCTTGCAAATAAATGGTACGTTCCATAGTTTGTTGGGACAGACAAGCTGTACATCGAGGGTCTTTTTACATCATACTGCTAAAACAAATACACTGAAAATGCACATGTAGTAAGCCACATTTGCATGCATTTTTATGGGTGTAGCATTGCTTTCTGTGACTGCACGGACTTACATTTTTCTGCACTGGATAAACTCAAGTCAGTGGACTTGGTGTGAATTATACTTGGAATACCGATGAACAAGAGTGAATATAAAAGGAGTATAAAGGTAATAGGGTAAGATACTGCAGCAAGACAGGTGAAGCAATAGTAGAAACAGCCTCACCTAAAGTAGCTCCCACAAAAGCTCATTTCATTTTTAGCAGAAAGCTTCAAACCCACCTCAGTGCCTCTAAAAGGCTATACTAAAAACATAAGATTTAGTATCAACAGTAACCGAGAAAAATTGTATATGAAAATGTTGCATTAACTCTGCCTACAGAAAGTGGGGGGGGGGGGGGGGGGGGGATTTACTAAAACTGGAGCACTCAGAATCTGGCACAGCTGTGCATGGTAGCCAATCAGCTTCTACCTTCAGCTTGTTCAATTAAATGTTGACAATAAATCCTGGAAGCTGATTAGTTTTTGCACAGGGCTGCACCAGATTATGCACTCTCCAGTTTTAGTAAATAACCCGCAAATGTTTATTTGTGTTACTGCAAATGATGTAAAATCCTGAGATTGTCCCAATACTGCTTCCATCATTTTAGGGCACATTAACATGAGGCAGTACTTTGCCCTTTACAAATGTATAAGGCTGGCATTAAAGTGAATCTGCTGCTCTGACTTGCATGGGCAGAGAAGCAAAGTGAAACTCCAGCACTTTCATGTAGGGAGGAGCATCACCCTCTCCCCATGTGACAGTGCTAGAGCTTGGACACCAGTGAACTCAGTGCTGCATATGTAAAGCATGGTTCACCTTAAATAATACATAGGTGATCATTGATGCATAAAGGTATCTGAAAATCTGTCATAGAACAAAAACCAGTAATAGCTGTTATAGAGAGCAAATGGTCAGAGATACAGGGTGAACCTGACTTACCTGTCCATGACACTGGACTGTATAGAAAGTCCAGGCTTCGCCTGTCATGGTGGGCATACCCTCAAAGGATACTTTCGGTCTGAATATATTAGTGCCTGCAAGAGAACATGCCATTATTTCTAGGGTAAGATGTTAGCCACGTTCTCCTTTGTTTTCTGTTAGATCTGTCCTTTTGCTGATCAATTGGAGTTGTTCACCAATGTGGAGGGAATCCGAAATAAAAGGACTTAACTCTCATAGTTGAGCATTTTATATATTGTTTGGAGTGTCCTTGCAATTAACCATATCAGTAAGACCAAAATGACAGTTGAGGTGAACACCTCCACGACCTCAAGGAGGAGTGGCCCATCTCAGCATTTTTCACAGCCTTCAATGAGAGTAAAGCAGAGGACTTGAAAATGAAGGGCATATTTAAATAAAAAAAAGTATAACACATACACAGCTATTTCTGGTGGTGTACTGGGTTTTCCATACTGATGGACCTGCATAGCACCCTGCAGCTTACTCAATGTGTTGCACCAGGTGCCAAGGTGACCGCTCATGCATGATCCAAAGCAACATTACAAGCCATCCCCACAGCATGGGCTCCAGGCACTAGAGATGTGCATGATGAAAAAATGTTTCATTTTAGATTCATTCATTAAGTCAATCATTTTGTTTCGTCATATTTGTTTTGCTGCAATTCGTTTTTGAAATTTGTTTTATATTCATTGTTCCAAATCGGCTTGTATTTTCATAAGTTATTTCGTAACATTCGGATTCATTCCTTAGGTTTCCAGTGGGACTTTCAATTGAAACTTCAATGCCTTGCAACTTACTTGCAACTTTGGCCAATCATAACAATGCAGAGTTATGACATATTATTGAACTTACAAAACCCTCTGAAGCCGCAAACAAATTTGTTGCTTTCATTATAGTTAATTTCGGATACGTTGAAATTTCTTACTATTGTGATTCGGAAATTTAGATACATCTGAAGCTCCAAATAACGAAACAGAAGTAAGGTACTTTCTTGATGGTACTTAGAACCAGAACGTTGGTCAAAAATGTACCTGGGCTTCTCTTCACTTTGCTACCAGGATGTGGCTAGGTGGGAAAAATGTACCATACGTGGCGGTCGTGCACCAAGGTTAAGCATTTTTGGATGCAAGTTCACGTCCTGATTTATTCTGCGACCATAGTAAACACCAGGGGCGGACTGACAACTCATGGGGCCCCCGGGCAATAGGGGATCATGGGGCCCCTGTGTCCTTGCCCAAACTCAAAAAAGCCTATGAAAAAGGTACCAGGGGCATCTCATGGGGCCCCCTACTGACCCCGGGCCCTCGGGCAGTGCCCGAGTTTCCAAATGGTCAGTCTGCCCCTGGTAAACACTGTTAAAAATCCCATGGTAGCCATACTGTTTGAACCCACTGAAGAGGTATCCAGACACACTCAGACCTTGATATATTTTATGTTCCTAGCAGCTAAAGTAGCCATTGCGAGTACAGTTGTAAACTTGGCAGTGATAAAATGGAAACAAATGTGAATAACGACTAACAAAAAGAAGGTTAGTATTTTTTTGAGACACCTCCTCAAGGTTTGAGAGGGTTTGGAACCCATGGATCCAATATCTCCAACTCCCTGCTTAACCATATTTTTTTTTTTTTTTTTTTTTTTTTTTTTTTTTTAGAGACAGCAATTCTGTATCTTGTAAAAGTAATCTGAGCAGCTAAAAAAAAACCCGCCACCACCTTTACCGGGCTCTCCCATACGGTTGGGGAGCCCAGTGACATCTAGTTCCTGAGACACAGTAGAGGAACAATGTTGCTCCTCCCCTTGTGATGCCAGAAACCAGACGCAATAATTATATCACTTCCGATTATAGTCCCATGGAACAAGCCATTACTGGCTTGTAAAAGCATTGGATCAAACCAGTTCTCTGTTTGATCTGATGCTTTGGAAGCCAGAGGAGACATCTGGGGTCTAAAACAGATCTCGTGAAAAAAAAAAAAAGAGGACCTGTCACAGCCCATGCTAATCACAAGCGATGTTTTTCATCCCTTGTGATAGCAATAAAATAAAAAATAATAAAAGTGTAAACAATTTTAATAAAAATAAAAAATGTAAAGTGCCCCCCGCCCCCTGGTGTGGCAAAGGTGAACGCATATGCAGGTCACGCACACATATGTAAACAGTGATTGCACCACACGTGAGGTATTGGCACAGAACGTTATATCGAGAGCAATAATTCTATCACCAGAACTCCTGTGTAACTCTAAACTGGTAAGCTGTAAAGGCTTTTAAAGCATGACATGTTAGGGATCTATTTACACATTGTAACATTTTATATTTTGCCAAAAAATTGGTATTATATTGTGTTTTGTGCATTAAAATTCATTAAAGTGTGTTTCAAAAAAAAAAAAAAAAAAAAAAAAAAGTGAAAAACCGCTGCACAAATACCATTTGGCATAAAATATTGCAACCATCATTTTATTATTCTCTAGGCCCTCGGATTACAAAAATATATAATGTTTGGGGGCCCCAAGTGATTTTCTAGCAAAAAACAAAAAACAAACAAACTGCTATTTACATATAGGAGAAAACTGTCAGAATTGGCTTAGTCGCAAAGTGGTTAAAGAATTTTGTAGTTAAAGAAGAATGATTGCATGACAGACTGGTAACAAAGCAACCTAGGCAGGAGCGTAGGGCTCGGTGAATGTCCAGAGAAAAAAGCTGCTACCTCAATCTGTCTCTGCTGGTGGCTATGGGTTTCTACATTACTCTCATCTCTTGCACTGCTTGTGTGGTACCTGACAAAGTTAACATGATCAGAAGATATTAAAAACATATGCTTGTTCTGTTATACTACTTTAATGAGAAATTATATATAGTTATATTAATGTATCATACAAAACAAAAACATTCTGTTCAAATTTCTATGTACAAAAAAGAGCAGCAAAAGACTGTAAAATAAGTACATCAGGAAAAAAAAGTGCTGGAAGGGAAGATACAGAAGCTTGATGAGTTTGCTTGATTAGTACACTGTGTAAAAACGCTTCTCCCTGCTACTGTACATGGATCACTAAAGTCCTGGAAAGGGAGCCTACTGCTCCATTTCTCTCTACACCCACATCAGTCTCATTCTGTAGAGGAGCCGCTGTTCCCTGAAGGAGGTGCGCGTGAGCGTGATCATGAGCATGGTGTCCACTGAACACATTCATCACTTAGCCTTCTTGGTCTTCGGTTTACACTGCTTTTTGTCTTCATTCTTTTCGGCTTTGGTTGGCTTGGAAGGTTTTGACGTTTTGCCTTTTTTGCCTTTTTTGCCTAGTGTGGTTAAATAAGGTGATTAGAATGGAAGCAACATAGCCGGCCAGCTCTACAGCCTACGTTTAGTGAGAACATTATGAAATATTTCATAAACAGATTTGCATAGATTTACTTCTAGTGTAGTTTATATATCAAGCACTACAGCCAGCAACCTTGGTACATGGAAGCTCAGAAAAAGAGGAATTTAGACTTACCTGTAAATTCCATAACTTGGGCGTACAGTAGTGTACACAAACAAATTATTCTTACGCTATGGGTTATAGGCTTGTACTTTCAGGTGATTGGAAACTGGCAAGCTTTTGAGGACATGGCCTGGTGCTTAAAGGCCCAGGATACTCCTCCAGACATGGTGGACTGAGCCCCCAATGACACAGAAGAGGGTTTTGAGAGAAGAGAAAAATATCTTGCAATCAAGATCCTGATCCACCAAGCAATGATGGACTTTGTTTTTCCCTTGGGACCTCGCAAGGAGCACCCTTCTTCAAAACGGAACCAGTCTAATGTAAGCAGTAAATAACCATATGAATAGAGGCTTAAAAAGTAACTGGTATCACTTGAAGTACAGAATTTGCCCAATAACCAAAAAAGCCTGCAACAAAAAACCGTGAATAAAGAATTCACAAGAAAAGCGGTTACATAAAGGACAATGCGATACTCAAATAATCATCAAAATATGCTTTTATTAGCAAAATTGCACATGGAAGACAATAGGGTAAAGACTGCAAAAAGCCATCATCTCTATTTAAGACAATACACAGAGCAACCTTAAAACAAAAATAAAAAAGAGAGACATCATGGCTAGGCCATATAAGTAATGCTATGCTGCAGGGGCAACGACTCACAGGTCCTTTGCACAGACAGCAAAAACACATCAGGGTGCACCACCATGGTGGGGATAGAGATATCATGGAGACAATACAATATGGCTATGCACCAATCATCAAAAATACACTTGTAACTTCAACTGGTATGGAAATAGGAGCCCAACTAGAAAATGCAATGGGAACTTAAATAATGTGACCATGTGTTTGGATACATTCCACATATAGATGCTAATGTTGATGAGTGACAATTAAAAGCACTGGTGTAATCCTGGTAATAATAAACCATAAATCAATAGTCGTGGCCAGAAGACAGTCCTCAAGTATAAATACAGTATTGACTAAAAAGGCCTTCACAAGGCAATGGATAAAGATAAAGATCCTTGAAAATGTATAGTCCAGCAGCAATATGTAGACAAATGGCAGAAGGCAGACCGCTGAATATATGAAAAATTCACTATCCTGAGATAAAGGAAGTCCATAAGGCAGCCACCATAGAGGACTTGAATGGCAGAGCCCTGCCTGCGTGTGAATCCAGTTATCTGCCAGATGTAGACCACAATGTCACTCACTACCTTTTAGATGGAGATACTGTGATATTCCTTAGTGAACTGTATAAGCAAGGTGCAATGCACCAACTGTTGGATATGGAGTAGAATCCCCATCCTGTAGTGAAAAAGTGACAAATAGAGAGTCATAAGGCTGCCGCCATGAGAGACTTCTGGTGATAGAGGCCTATCGGCTATGTATCCAGTTAGGTGTGAGAGAAGCGTCACTCACCACCCACTCGGTCAAATAATGACAGTATGACGTTCCTCAAATTGCTCAAATCCATGCCTGGAGTCCTGGAGGCAGCCGCCAGCTTTAGGAACCCCAATGGTCAGGCTCCGCTTCCTAGAGGGTACACATGGTGACTGGTGAGCACCAAAAGTAAGCGTGGTGCTCCGTGTCCCCACCCGGACTTGTTGAGTAGTGCCGATGCGTGTGGCCAGCCATGATGTCACTGACGTGTATGGTCTTAAATTGCGGTGATGGCTTTTTGCAGTCTTTATTGTCTTCCATATGCAATTTTGCTAATAAAAGCGTATTTTGATGACCGAGTATCGCATTGTCCTTTATGTAACCGCTAATGTAACCAGTAGCTTTTAGGTACACTCTAACGGCTCTATCTACATCCCACCAATGTAGAGAGAATTCCTTTGGGTGCTTAGAAGCAGGGCACAAGGACCATTTCCTCACTGAGATGGAAAGCTTAACCCACCTTTGGAAGAAATAAATGATCTTGGGCATAATATAACCTTGTGAAGTATGAGAAAAGGCTTTTAACAGAAATGGACCACCATTAAGATACATGTCTGACAGACAAGATGGCTTACTTAAAGTGCTAGTCTTCCACTGCAAAGTGTAGAAATCGCTGATGAGGTAGGTAAATAGGAACATGCAGCTCGGCATCTTAGATGTCCACAGATGCCATGTTCTCTGGCAGTACTGGTACAACAACTCCCTTGGACAAGCAGATGGTTCAGAGCATTCTGCAAATCTGACTGTCCTTGGACAGATTTGGTTGATCTAAAAGAAGAAAGCCGTGAGGTGGAACAGTTTTGAATTCTATCTTGTACCCTTTAAAAACCTCCGACTGAATCTAGAAAATCCAGTTTGAGACATCTGAAACCCAGACAGAAGCAAACTGTAACAGATGTCCTTCCCACTCTTAAGAGTGAGGGTGCCCATTTATTGTAAAGAGGGCTTTAGGGAAGGCTTGCTGGCCTTTGTGGGCCAAGCCTTTTACCAAAAGGAAGGGCTGAGCTTAAGTTGTGAAGCTGGAGCCTAGTTTGCACAGACAGGTGCTCTACGTTTAGAGGACCTAGAGGGGCACTGAAGAGGAGTTTTGGGATCTTCTGCTGTGGAAGCAAATTATGTCCTTCTGTAACAGCTTTGATAATTTAGTCAATTGTGTCATGAAAGGTTTGTTGGAGAACCCTGGTTAGAGAGGAGCTACAGGCTTCTGAGGTGGGTTGCTTTTGAACCTTCCTCTGAGGAAGTAAAACTTTCCCACCTGTGACCTCTTTGATGAATTGGTCAAGTGCCTCATCAAACAGATGTCTTCTTTGGAAGGGCATGCGTGTGAGGTGCCTTTATAAGCCTTTAGACATGAGATTCTGTGCAAATGAATGGAGATTCGAGCCATTCTGGATATCTGTCTCAGAAAGTAGTTACAACAATTACTTTCTTGGAAGATTCCTTGGAAGATGTACTAACAGCAAGATCCTGGAAAATAGGGTCATGTTGGTTTTCCCATTATCCTATTCCAGTCTGACATATAGAAATAGCAGCAAGAGCTGGTTGCAGGGCTGGACCTGACAGGTTACAGAGAGCTTTTAACAGCATCTCAAATTTTCTATCATCAGAATCTTTGAAAGAAGGAACATGTTAGGTACAGTCAGATGTTTCATGGCAGACATGTTTGTTTCTTTTTGTTTGTTTGTTTCAGGTAGAGGCTGCAGTATCAACCACAGAAATAGCCCACCTTTTTTGCAATCCCTTTTTCCACTGGATAGGGTTCAGCAAAGATTTTTCGGAGACAGAAAATCTTTCAGCAGAGATCCAATTGTAACAGACCGCACAATCTATCTGCTCATGACCAGGGAAAGTTTTGCAACTCTCCTTGTGTCCAAAGGGGCATGGTGAGATGAAGGAGAGTGAATTTGCACAAAGCCAAGGCTTTTGCGGATAGAGGTAATGAGCAAACATGTTGCGTGAAGCCCCCTCTTCAGTACAGTGATAACGTGGTGGAGAGAGAAATATTCCGCAGGTTCCACCAACACTGCCTCAACATCCTTTTCATTCCGTTCTGATTCTACATACTCTAGGACCCGCATATCATGATCACACTCCAGTTGAGAAACAGGAGTAGAAGAGGTGGGGCATTTATGAGCCCAGGACAAAGACGGCTGTATTAAGACCACAGTCTGTCCAAGAAACTGGAACATAGATGCAGAAAAATCCATTTTGTCAAGCAGGCTGATTGTTGCATGCCTGAAATAGAGATAGATTTGGATGCTGAATGCAGTGTTTGAATCAGTCCTTGCTCAATACAAGGGATGCATTGTCACTCTGAGGTTGAGCGTAGTGTGGGCCTTCTGCAGAGCAAATGTTCGCCTGCTATTCTGAATAAGCTCCGTCGCATCATTTCCACCACACCTACAAGTGAAGTTATTCCCCTGTGGGGTACTCGCAGAGTATAATGTGGGAGATAAGGTAAGCGTGTCCAGAAGGTAGTATGCAGTAACCCAGGTGTGGACCACCCTTCAACGAATCCTCATGGGTAAAAGGCTGGAGGAAGCACCCAAGTACCTTATAGAAAAGGCTTTACGCAGAAGCGGCACTAATGTGTGCAACCAGTGGTGTGATGCAACATCAAATCATGCTTCAAAGTGGTTGAGTTTAAGCGTCAAGTTTAAAAAGGCTTCCAAACTGGTCTTTTAATACAGGTGTACCTCAGTTTACAAATTTAATGCGTTCTCCGGGGCGTTTCGTATTGCCAAAAATTTGTAAACCGAAACGCGGTTTTTCCCATAGGAATGCATTGAAAGCCAATCAATCCATTCCGGAGGTCAGAAAAAAGTAAAAAAAAAAAAAAAAAAGTTGCTGTCACTGTAGGTCAGTGTCGGTTTATAAGTGTAATTACCAGCTTTCTTTTCCTTCACTATAGTTCAGAGATTCAGCTATCACTTTCCCCCCAGCTAAAAGAAAGAATGTTTCGTTTTAGTTTGTTTCCCAGAGTTAAAAGAAAGAATGTTTCCTTTTAGTATGTTTACCAAGATAAAAGAAACAAAGTATCCTTTAACTCTGGGGAAAGTGACAGCTAATTCTGTGAGCTATAGTGAAGAAAAAAAAAAAAAAAGACAGCAATTGCATTTAAACTTCAGCACCAGACATACACTTCATATTGCGAAAAAAAATTGTAAACTGAGGCATTATTTTCATTCAGAAACCGAAAATGATAACGGAGGCATTCATAAACCGAGGTGCACCTGTACAGATGTCTGCTGCAGGCACAGAAACACTAAAAAAAAAAAAAGTTATAGAAATGCAATTCAGGTCAGCTCCACTTCAGAGCTCCTGTACAGCATCTCTGTGGCCATTGTGAACCCACACTGGCCAGCTTAAATGAAACAGTGGCAGCCATTTCCTTGATGTACTGAATTCCTGAGATACAAAGACTGGCTCTTACTAATGTAATCGGTGTAGAAAGCTGAATTGCCATTTCACACATACTGTATTTAAGGATCACTGCCAACTAGAAGAGAGAGAACTGACAGGCTTGCAATGAGTGAGATATACAGTAAAGCACAGTAAGCACAGTCTGCATATGTGATGCAGCGATGGGTCTGCCCCCATTTACATATACAATGATAATGTACATTGTAGAGAATATATAGCTTGCTATACCGACTAGCAAAGGATTTCCAATTAAATCTGCAATCTTCTCTCTGCTAACCCTACTACAAATGAAGATAGAATATAGATGAAGAGCCATCTGATGGTTGGATGTAGTATTCCATTGTGACCATATATGACCAACTGTATTTAAAAGCACTGCTCTATCTATATGGTTGGACTTTGGTCCTCTCAGGGGGGAAAAAAAAAAAAAATAGTAGGAACGGTATAATTGCTGGAGGCAGGGCCTCGCTGCGTTACGGTTACAAGAAAATTCTGTTTAGAAACACAGCAAATATCAGTGATGCTCAGTAACCCCAGTAGAATCTATTAATATTAACAAAAGCTGATTTATCCAGTTGCCAATGGTTGGTGTATTTTATGCATCACTACATGACTTTAGCCCTCAGAGTCATGTGCTAGTTATAACTACGCATTATCTTGCTTCCAAATTTAATAGTGAAATATAAGATGTTTGATTTACAGGAAGGTTAAGGCCGTTATTTTGTTCTGAGAATTATTAAGAACCCACATATTGCTGAAGGCCATTGCAAATGAATAATTTAGTACCGAAGGATGAAGGCTTCAATAAACACTATTAGTATCCAAATATAACACAGTAAGCGGAAGGTACAAAAGACACAACTAAGGCTGGTGTTAGTACAAAGTGCTCAAAGCAAAAATCAATGTTTGCTTTTTTAATAATCAGGCACTTTTTCAAACTGAGATTTAACATCTTTATTTAATATTAAGTTGCCAAAAGGGTCTCTAGGTCACAATTTGCATTTCATTCAATAATCTTTGGTAGTAGAATTCCCTTTTCTTTACTTTTTTTTAATAGTTTTTATCATCCAAAAAGATAGCAGTTTCCTTGTTTACCAGAACTGAGCATGGTGCAGGCAGCAGGAACACACCAAGCACCCGCAGCAAAAAATGAGATTTCATCTAACATCAGATCGAAACGGTCAACACTGCAGAATGCACACTAGACTTGACAGTGAAGAAGCATCAGACTTCTGGGAATCATCTCTCTGCTCTCTCCCCCTATCATCGAGTCCCCTAGAAGCACATAAGCACTGCAGCACAAATAACTGGCTCTTTGTTCTACTTTTCCCTCTACAAGTGTAAATTCTACTATATAGGTGACTAAATCTAGAGTTCAGTGTTACTGATCCACTGTTGTATCAGCTGTCACCAGCAATTCATACAAACACATTGGTGACATCCTCACTAAAGGAAAAAGAAGGACTATATTATTAACTGAAGAGATGAACAAATGCTGAGTTACCTTGATCATGGCATCTCCACCTACATCATCTTCATTTTCTTCAGCCGGATTGTCATTATTCATTTCCTCACTATACTCCGTGTCAAGTGATGAGGCAGTTTCTCGTTTAGTGGCTTTTACCATTTGCAGAGAGTAAGGGGTGAGATGAGCCTCTTTGTTGTAGCTGCGTGTAAAAGCACTTTTCACCTGTGGCAGAAGTGTAAGTCAGTCTAGTAACATACTGTCAAGTGTGTACCATTTAAAAGATTTTATAAGCAAGCAGCAAGAAAATAAAAGTTTGGTATATTGCAGATGGTATATGAAAAACACCATCATAAAGGTCTAAAAATCTTGAAGCTTTAATAAGCACAAATCCTACATTCAATACATTTTTGCAAAGCTATATGTCAAGTAATGTGCAAGAAGGGTTTCCTCTACTGATTAGCTACTGCAGTTACGGTTATAGAAATGTGGCAAGTTTATTCCCATTGTCAGTGAACAGCGCACACTTTTTGAATTCACCAGTTCACAGAGTAAATGTTTTCAGTCGTGATTTTAACCAGCTGCCGACCGCAGACAGCCGAATGACGGCTTCACTGCGGCCGGCCAGTTCTGGGTGGACGTCATATGACGTCCTCCCAGAACGCGCTCTCCTGCGCGCCCCAGGGGGCGCGCACCCGGCGATCTCCGTGATCGCTGTGTCCTACGGACACAGCTGATCACGTGATGTGGTAAAAGGCCAATCACAGCGGCCTTTTACCACGTGATCAGCGGTGTCCAATGACACGCTGATCACAGGGAAATGCAAGTGCTGGTTCTCGGCTGCACTTTCCTCACTCTGTCAGATTGTGAGGAAAGTACTGCCGAGAACCGGCAGCTGTCAGAGCAGGGATCGGCACCGATCATCAGGGCACTGATGATCAGTGCCCTGATGATCGGTGCCCAGCAGTGCCACCCGCAAGTTCCGCCCAGAAGTGCGCCCACTAGCTCCGCCCACCCGTGCCCAGCAGTGCACCCACCTGTGCCCAGCAGTGCACCCACCTGTGCCACTCTGCAGTGCCACCTACCTGTGCCCAGAAGTGCCACCTACATGTGCCCAGCAGTGCCACCCACCTGTGCCCACCAGTGCCACCCACCTGTGCCCACCCACCAGTGCCACCCACCAGTGCAGCCCAGCAGTGCTGCCAGTCAGTGCCACCAGTCAGTGCCCAGGGGTTGTGCCAGTCAGTGCCGCCAGTCAGTGCCCAGCAGTGATGCCAGTCAGTGCCGTCTATCAGTACCCATAATCAGTGTCACCTATCAGTGCCGCCTATCAGTGCTGCATATTAGTGCGGCCTATCCGTGACACCTCATTAGTGCTGTCTATCAGTGCCGCCTATCCGTGCCACCTCATTAGTACTGCCTATCAGTGCCCTTTAGTGCTGCCTATCAGTGCCCATCAGTGGTGCCCATCAGTGGTGCCCATCAGTGCTGCCTCATCAACGCACATCAGTGAAGGAGAAAAAATACCTGTTTGAAAAATTTTATAAAAGAAACAAACTTTTTTTTTCAAATTTTTTGCACTTTTTTTATTTATAGCGCAAAAAGTAAAGTGCCCAGTGGCGATTAAATACCACCAAAAGAAAGCTCTATTTGTGAGAAAAAAATGATCAAAATTTCATATGGGTACAATGTTGCATGACCGCGCAATTGTCAATCAAAGTGCGGCAGCGCTGAAAGCTGAAAATTGGCCTGGTAAAGAAGGGGGTATAAGTGCCTGGTAGGCAAGTGGTTAAAGGCAGTTACAGATATCATTGTCTTCAATGTCAGATCTCTCCAGCAAACTGCAGGATATATTATTAAATCCCATAGACAGAGTCCAGCTACTGCATGTGAAATGGACTGCAATTTTACCTACAAATCTAGTTCTTTATTTCACAGAAAACAAGAGAGGGTCAGTGAACAAATCAGAATGGTTTCCCAGCTAAAGCCCAGCAATTAGATTTTAGCTGTTTAGTGTAGTCAGACCCCCGGGGAAATTATATACCATGGTAGCTTGTGCTCAGCCAAACCAACATGCAAGCATTTTCTAATTATGTTATTTATATAGTTGTGCTCAAAAGTTTGCATACCCTGGCAGAAATTGTGACATTTTGGCATTGATATTGAAAATATGACTGACCATACCAAAATATGCTCTTTTATAGAAGGATGATGATCATATGAAGCCATTTCTTATCAAATAGTTTTTTGGCCCCTTTTAAATCATAATGATAACAGAAATCACCCAAATGGCCCGGATCAAAAGTTTACATCCCCTGGAATGTTTGGCCTTGGTACAGACACACAAGGTGACACACATGGGTTACAATGCAAATTAGAGGTTAATGTCCCACATCTGTGGCTTTTTAAATTGCAATTAGTGTCAGTGTATAAATAGTCAATGAGTTTGTTAGCTCTTACATGGAAGCACTGACTAGGCTAGATACTGAGGCGTGCAGATCAGAAAAGAACTGTCAAAAGTCCTGCGTAACAAGGTAAAGGAACTTTATAAAGATGGAAATAAAGACATACAAAGATGTCAAAACCCTTAAATATACCAGTCATCACTTCCACTAAGAAGTAGAAAATTCAGGGACCTCTTGATACCTAGCCAAGTACAGGTAGACCAAGAAAGATTGCAGCCATAGCTGCCAGAATTGTTCGGGATACAAAGGGAAACCCATAGGTAACCAAAGAAAAATACAGGCAGCTCTGGAAAAAGACAGTGTGGTTGTTTTGAAGGCGCACAATATGATGACACTTCAACAAAAATTATTAGCTGCATGGTCGAGGTGCCAGAAAGAAGCCTTTACTGCATCAACAACACAAAAAGGCCTGGTTAGGCATGTCAAGGTGTTGTCAGGCATAATTTAACTGGGATTTTGTGTGGCATTGGTTCAGTAAAAGCTTCCTTTCTGGCACCTCAACCAAACAGCTCATTTTGTTCAAGTATAACCGTATTGTATTCCTTAAAAACAACCGCACCATCTTTTTCCAGAGCAGCCTGCATTTCTTTTGAGGTTGCCTGTGGGTTTTTCTTTGAATCTTTCTTGGTCTACAATCTTTCTTGGTCTATTTACCTTGGCTTGGTATCAAGAGATCCCCGAACTTTCCACTTCTTAATAAGTGATTTAACAGTACTGATTGACATATTCAAGGCTTTGTACATCTTTTTATGTCCTTTTCCATCTTTATAAAGTTCCATTACCTTGTTACGCAGGACTTTGACAGTCCTTTTCTGATCCCCATGGCTCAGTATCTAGCCTAGTCAGTGCTTCCACGTAAGCGCTAACAAACGCATTGAATATTTACACACGGACACTAATTGCAATTTAAAAACCCGCAGATGTGGAACATTAACCTCTAATCTGCATTTTAACCTGTGTGTGTCACCTTGTGTGTCTGTACCAAGGCCAAACATTCCAGGGTATGTAAACTTTTGACCATGGCCATTTGGGTGATTTCTGTTATCATTATGATTTAAAAAGGAGGCAAACAACTATTTTATAATAAATGACTTCATATGATCACCATCCTTCAATAAAAGAGCATTTTTTGGCATGATCAGTCATATTTTCAATATCAGTGCCAAAATTTCACAATTTCTGCCAGGGTACGTAAACCTTTGAGCACAACTGTATGATCCAAAATGATCAGGGTTACAGACAAATGATATAAAAACTTGATTAACCTGCTCATTTTCTGTTAATCCAAATTCTTACCTTGGAGTCAACTTTGGAGAAAGGGCTTGGCTTTCCTCCCCAGCTGCAGATCTCCATAATGTTATCAAAGTCCTCTTTCACGAAGTAGTATGTGTCCATTAGGTCCACAACGTCCTGCACACCATCTGAGCCTTGGGTTATCAGTGGCTGCACCAGCCTGTCCCTCATGTAGGACAGGTAATCCAGATTCAAAGCACTCTTACTTGCCCGCGTTCTAATCATAAAAAAAATTAAGTATGATCAATATATTACAAATTTGAGGGGAATTTGCAGATAGTGGAACAGACAGAATCTGGGCATCTGTGCACAGCAACCAATCAGTTTCTTTCATTTTCAAAGCTTACCTGAAACAAGCTAAAGACAGAAGCTGGTTGGTTACTCTGCACAGCTGTTCCAGATTTGGTTAGCTCTAGTTCTAGTAATCCCCCCCAACCCCCCATCTAGTGCACCAATTAAATGAAAACACCCCTTACATCTCCCTCTTACTGGTGTGTGATCTTGGGGCATCGGTTTATGGACCAGACACACATACATTTTATTTTTTTAAGGATCCAGCCAGAGGTAGCTAGAAACACTACCCACCCACTTGCTGACAGACTGGAGAAAGAGCTCTAATGATTTACCTGCTATACAAATTTTAACTTAAAGTGGTTATAAAGGCTACTTTTTTTCCCCTAAAAAATAAAAACAAGATTATATTTACCTGCTCTGTGCAATGCTCTTATCCCCTTTTCTGATGTTCCCCACTGGCACTCTCCTGTTCGTCACATAGCCGTCTGCTATTGGGGCACTCGTGCGGGTGCGCTCCTGAGCTGCGCCATGCGCCTCAAAAAGACACACGCAGCTCAACCTGCCCCCCACTGCCACCTCCTCTTGTTGGGGAGGGGTTTGATACAATTACCAGTACATTTTTTTTACCTGAATGCAGGGAATGCATTGGGGTAAAAAAACGTCTTGACTTTAGGACCAATTAAAAAAAAAACCCACATTTGATATGGAGTGCAAACCAAAGACTGTGTTCTCACTGAATGTATAGATTCAGGCTTTACAGCTAAACTCCAGCCTATCCTTCGGCTCCTTTCCTGTACTGAAATTGCTTAGTCCGATTCCACTGCACATTGAGATTCTCACAGTGTGCATTAAAAACTGCACAAAACCAGAGAAAGCCCACCTCATTCCCTGGCTGGAGAATATCCAGCTTAGTCCAGCTTCCACACCGGTTGACTGTCCCTGGACAGCATCTTTCATGCATTGGATTTCAGTTCTTTCAATAATGAAGGCTAGGAGGGTCTGCATGCAATTACACTCACCGGCCACATTATTAGATACACCTTGCTAGTGCCAAGAAAATATCCCCCACACTGTTACACCATCACCACCAGCCTGAACCACTGATGCAAGGCAGGATGGATCCATGCTTTCATGTTCATGTTCTGACCCTACCATCTGAATGTCAGAGCAACCAGTCTGCCCATTCTCCTCTGACCTCAGACACCAACAAGGCATTTTCCTCCACACAACTGCCACTCACTGAATATTTTCTCAGTTTTTCAGACACCATACTCTGTAAATCCTAGAGATGACTGTGCATGAAAATCCCAGGAGATCAGCAGATATGAAATAATCGGTCCAGCCCGACTGGCACCAAAAACCATGCCACATTCAAAGTCACTTAAATCCCCTTTCTTCCCTATTCTGATCCTTGATTTGAACTTCAAGTCAACTTCACCATATCTAGATGCCAAAGTGCATTGAGTTTCTGCCATGTGATTGGCAGATTAGCAATTTGTGTTACCAAGCAATTGAGCAGGTGTACCTAACAAAGTGACTGGTGAGAGTATATTCTAGGTAGAAATTCCCACTGCTCCCCACTGACAACCACCCATCAAGGCATTTTAATTATTAAAGATCCAACCCACTGCTTGCTATCAGGGCTACGTAGAAAAATACTGAAGCAGGGTGTTGTGATCATTTCTTGGAAGCTTATACAGCAATGTGCTGGCCCTTCCCACCTGCTATGATCTGCATGCATTTCATAGAGAAGCACAGAGACTTAGTTATGCCACTAGATCTAAATTAAGGCATGTCATGAAAGTGAAAGATTTTTAAAAAATGTATTATGTTAAATTACTATTTATGTAAAGCTATTACAGTCCAGAGCAGGGGCGGACTGACAACTCATGGGGCCCTCGGGCAACAGGGGATCATGGGGCCCGTGTCCTTGCCCAAACTCAAAAAAGCCTATGAAAAAGGTACCAGGGGCATCTCATGGGGCCCCCTACTGACCCAGGGCCCTCGGGAAGTGCCCAAGTTTCCAAATGGTCAATCCGCCCCTGGTCCAGAGTCCTGAGAAGTAGGACAATTTTACCTTAAAGATGTGTGCATAGCCAACTCCTGTGTAATACGGTCGTATTTCCCAGTGGAAGAATGTTTCCCAAGCCAGCTAGGAAAAGTTGGAAACTGAGGCATGTAACCCCTCATCAATTCCCCAGGCAGGACACTGGCATAGACGGCCTAAAAAGAAAAACCAATCATCTTCATCACACACTTCAAAAGGCTGAAACAGTACCAGGTTGTGGACATTGTCAGATATGTACTAGCTGCTCAGTGAATGTGTTCTTTCACCAGAAAAATATGGAGACTGTCATTGCTAATGTACTTCTGAATATGTGTATTGCCTGGGTGTTATGATGACCAACTGACCTTAGCATTTATATGGCCACACGTCTCGGAAAGTTGCTTCCATCACAGCCTGATTATACGAATGTTTTGCTTCATAACTTTAAACTTAAAACCAGTGGGTGCCTCTGGTTTGCCATATACTAGACTAGTTTGTTTGGTTGCAATCAACAGAAAGAATTGGATACACAAAGAACGAGACAGTGGGAACTTAAAAGAAACCTGTACAGAGAGATACAGAGGCTGCCCATGATGGTGAAGAAGAATGTGATTCTGTGGACAGATGTCCTTTATACACATAATGATTTGTCGTTGGGAGCACCTTCTTAAAATGACAGGACTAAATCGTGTACCACATGAGCATATAACCAGTCTGTGGGAGCCAGGAATTTTGTTGGTTGGTAGGGGATCAAATACTTATTTTACTCTTTGAACTGCAAAGCAATTTATAACATTTGTATCATGTGATTTTTTGGAATTTTGGTTGATATTCTGTCTCTATCATTTAAAATACACCTATGATAAAAAAATTATAGACCCTTCATTTCTTTGTAAGTCGGCAAACTTACAAAATCTGCAGGGGATCATATAATTATTTTCCTCACTGTATTTGCCACTGACTCAAAAATAAAAAATTCCCTTCCACAATGAGGAGTTTGAAATGGTCTCAAAAGGCTTATGAGTGAAACAAAAAATATAGTACTGAAAAAGCAGACTTGTATCTGAAAAGCTTATCTGTGATACTCGCTTCACTTTCACAAAGAGAAGAAACGTTGACTATTCTTGTGAAAGAGGATGCAGAAATGGATTAATTTTCTGTGTCTGATACATGAAGGTGTCAAAAGCAGGGATATTTTAACTATGGGACACCAAGCAAAATGGAGACCATATTGTAGGATGCTCATAGAGGACTAAACCCACTGTAGTGTCAAGCTCCTATGGTAAGCACTGTATCACAAAATGTAGTCAATTGCAGCCAGTACATTACCATAGTTCAAATACACACACACACAAAAAAAAAAAAAAAAAAAAAAAAAAAAAAAAAAAACACTGCCCCAGTATTAGAGGTGCCCGCTCGCCTCCAACACAGCAATATAAAAGTAATGGATGGCCACTCCATGGGGACAATGCAAAAAAACTTTATTGTAGAAATCAAAAATCTATATATAAAAAAACTTGTTTTGCGCTGAACAGCGCTTCAAAATGACCATGATTATCCACATCCTTACCACGCTACAGCCGAATGATGGCTACAGCACGGTTGTCCAGTTCTGGGAGGGCGTCATGTGCCGTCCTCCCAGAACGTGCTCTCCCGCACACCCCCAGGAGCACCCAACCAGCGCTATCAGTGATTGTGGTGTCCAATGGACACAGCTGATCACATGATGAGGTAAAAGGCCAATCATAGCAGCCTTTTTCCACGTGATCAGCTGTGTCCAGTGACACAGATCACCGAGTAAATACAGTTGCCGATATCGGCAGCACTTTCCTTACACTACCACAGTGTGAGGAAAGTACTGCCGATAACCGGCAACTGTCACAGAGCAGATCGGCTAATGATCAGTGCCCTGCAGTGCCATCCACCAGTGTCGCCCAACACTGCTCTATATCAGTGCCCATCATTGCTGCATATCAGCGCGCAGCATCATCAATGCCTACCAGTGCTACCTCATCAGTGCAGCCTAACCATGCAACATCATCAATGCTGCCCATCTGTGTCCATCAGTGCAGCGTCATCAACACACATCAGTGAAGGAGAAAAATTACCTGTTTGCCAAATTTTAGAATAGAAACAAATAAAAATATTTTTTTTGCTCTTTTTTTGTTTATAGTGCAAAAAATAAAAACACCCAGTGGCAATTACATACCACCAAAAGAAGTTCTATTTGTATGAAATGATAAAAATTTCATATGGGTACAGTGTTGCATGACTGCGAAATTGTCAAAGTGCAACAGCGCTGAAAGCTAAAAATAGCATGAAACAAGTCAACCCTTCCTGCTATGCCTAGGTGCTGTGAAGTTTTTGTCTTTTTGCATCGTCCCCGTGGAGTGTGCAGCCATCCTTTACATTTATAATACATTACCACGTTAAAAGAAATGCAGTATTTATATATAAAAGACAGTTACTAATGTCAGTAGAAGAGAAGTGGACAAATGATTTTCTGATCTGTCACTCTACCTGTGTAGGCAGGAGACTCCAGGTCTGCTTACTGCGGATAGCCCTGTCTACCAGGTCGCCATCACATATGCTATCAGCCGTTTTGCTCAGCAGTAGTAAGTGTTTCTTCAAGTTCCCTCTAAATTAACAAAAGAACAATTATACAACTGGTATACAATTATACAATTGGTAGCACAGAGAAGATTGTAAGACAGTCCAAAATCCTCACCCTGACGCAGCTGGCTTCACATGGATATAATTTTCCTGAACAAAGAGAGGCGCTATCGAGTAGTCATGGAAGAAGAGGTCCAGCTTGTCTATAAATGTCATGTGAGCATTGTCTCCATCACTACCAAACACCTTGCGTACAACATCAAAAGGACCCTGAAAATAATTATAATTCATAAGTCACAAGATGCCCCCCATAAGCACAAGTGATTGCAGAGTATGCCAATTTTTCTAAGGTTTACTCTTCAAAGCTTAAAATATTTATCTGCTTGTATAGAAAATCTATAAACTAAGATATCCCTTAAAACTGCTAACTTTATCCCAACTTAACTAAACGACCAATTTGAAACCTGTTCCAGGTTCAGGGACTGAGCAACCAAGAATCTCACTTACTATTTTGATGTCCTTTTTGGCATTTTTAGCATTACTCTTAGCTTCATCATAGGTCAAAGCCTTACTGCGAGCACTCCACATACTGAGGTTATGAAGAACCTGATGGAACAAGATACAAAGCCAAGTTCTTGTAGGTACTGAAGATTAAAAATTAGGAAATTGTTCTTCTGTAGAAAGTCTCACCTGCCGAACGTCATGGTTGGCCCCAAGTATAATTTCATTCATAGCTGGTGGTGGAATCTTCAGTCCTTCCTTGAATGCCACAGACATCATAGCCCCCTACATTTAACAAGTTCCAAGTGTTAAATAACAAATGAAATGTCACGCATGATGAAGGGAAAAGACATGGAAATCTTCTGACCTTAATTTGCTCCACTCTGGGCCTCTGGAAGCGGAGGTCAAAGCAATAGTTAGCAAGTGACCGAATTTTAGGGTGATTTCGATCATTACACATGCAAATAATGGGGATCTTCGATTGTTTGATCAAAGAGATTAACTCCTGAAACAAAAAAATGCAACAAGAAAACCATCAATTTATCTGCACACTGCTCCTAAATATCCCATACAGCGCTGTCAACCATGTCTGACGGAATACTGAACTCCTTCACCTATCTCCTACCCACCTCTGTCCTACTCTGCATACATCGATTTCTTTCCAAGAAAATCAGTGCTGCCACCTTGACTCCCAAGAACCTGCCCACACACTGAGTGTAGAGAAAGGGCTCTTGGGAGATGTAGTTCTGGAGCAACATGGAACAGGAACTTAGCAATCAGCAGCTGTTCCGGCAAGAATTTTACAAGCCTTGTAGTGACATCACCATGCTGTGCTCTCAGACCAAGTGTGGTCAGTTTTTGAAAAGAAAGCAGGAACACCAGGGATTCCACAGACAGGAAGCAATACAAAGCAAACGGGATACAATTTCATACAAGGACATGGTACAACAGGAAACATATCAAGAATATGAAATGTTGGGTTTACATATTCTTTAAAGCTTAACTCCACTAACTGCATGCAATGTTTGAAACGGCAAATCACCCACGCTCCTATGTGTCGAAACAATATGCAGAATAAATATAAATTTCTAAAGAGGCTTTTGTATTATTGATTAAATGTGAGTGTAATACGTATTGCTGTTTTTAGCGAAATTAATAGCTCAACAGTATTACACCATTAGTGTCCTTTCTGCTTCCCTCTATTACACGCATGATGAATTATGGATTATACTGATGGATTGTACCTACACTTCATAACCATGGGTCTGGCACTCTGTTGAATCCTGGACATATCTGTGAGCACATTCCACAGAAATAAGCGCTTTTGACTCTTAAGCCCACAAAGCTAGGAGCCCATCATATCTGGTGAGTGTGGAGAGCGTAGGGGAGGGTCCACTGAGCACTATGTGGTGAGATCATTTGTGTTTCAGGGCATGGGATATTTATTTTTTGGATTCTCTTTTTCTTTTGAGCACATGTTTATTTATTGGAGCACTCAAGCACAAAACATTTAAGATTATGGACTTTATGTATTTGATTTTATTATTCTTTTTTTGTGCTGTGGTTATTATTATATATGCATGCAATGTTTGTTCAATGCAGGTAGGTTATTCTACTACTTTGTAAAGCAAAGTATCCAGGGCCTGCTAAAAAGATCAGCTATTGCCTCAATAGCAGCCAGCTACAAGTTTGTAATGCAAATTAGATATGCAACATTGCGATAACATCAAAACAATGGCTGTGTAGTCCTAGGTGACTAGTATAAAGAGGCACTAATCAATAATACCTACAGTATAGTACAAACCAATCCTATACACACTCACTACAAAACACTAATGAAATGACTCATTTTAGCAATTAATTCTATTATAAAATAGAATGAAATGTATATTTAAACAACTGTGCCCTCTGGAGACAGGGATTTCTACAAAAGTGCAGTAGACTTGCCTGTACACCCCCTCGGTCTTCATTTCCTGCCATACCGTCCACTTCATCCATGATTAGAACATGCTTGTTGCTTACGGATGTACTTGTCCCTGATAGGTGACAGAGACAACTGAAGTTACACGGTCAGAGAACAGTACATGGCATTACACATCAGCTACAGTCTCTTTCTCTTTCTCCAACCAAAGTATCTAACCAATATCCACTGTTCCTTTCTCTAGCAGAGACCAGACGACAAGGGTAATATCTAGCTTCAATTGCTATACCTAATCTAACACAATCTCTAAATGAAAGCATGTGTATACTACTGTATAGAGCAATATCCTTTACCTGAATAAAATCCTTTGATGCTGGTATTATTCAGAGATTGTGCCACTACTTCCTTCATGCTGTTTTTGCTGCGGGTGTCACTGGCATTTAGTTCAACATAACTGTAGCCAAGCTCCTAATGCACAGAGATGCCATTTTTAGAGGGCTCAAACACACCATCCTACACATATCAGAAATATTACAGTCACCGTTCATGTCACTTAAAAGAATGTGCTTTACCCATGCAGGCCAAAGACGCGGGTTCACTTTAATGCAAACGTCCACAAACAATTGCTCACCATCCTTTCACTCCTTCCACCACTCTGTTCAGCTGCCACAGAGAAAGAACTGCCCTGAGTAAATTGTGAGTCAGTTCAAACAGGGCTGTAGACTCCCGTGTGATAGCCCTGAATGGGCCAGCACTGTTACATGGGCAAGCCACATATTCCTCCATACTTGGAAGTAGTAAGAATTCCCTTCAGCTCCCAGCACTGAATGGAGCAGCAGGAGAGTGATGTAGAATAATGGCAACACCCCCACCCCACTTTTTACCTATACTGCGAAAAAGCACAGAATACAGCAGATGACATTACAAAAGGGAAGTCTGCAAAAGATTGTAAGCACAATCAGTTTACCTCGCACACAAGCACTGCAGTTGTGGTTTTTCCGACTCCTGGAGGACCAGATAACAGAGCTGCTTTAGATGAAGATCCGTCATCCTTCCCTCCAAATTTGTTATATTTTGCTGAAATACAATTCCATTGTAAAAAACAGTAAGATACAAACTGAAGTGTTTTCTAAACTGTGTGCACAATCCAAACACCGAAGTGCACTTTGTACACAATAAAAGACAGATGTCTACTGCAACACTAAGCATATGAAAAACAAAATAAAATCCAATCTAGAACTCCTAGAATGGCAGTGTACATGTTGTCCTTATACATACAAACTCACAAAGTTTTCCTCAGTCCATTCTAGAAGTGCTTGGTTGTTAAGTAAACCTCATAGGAAAAAAGTGAAACACAGCCGAACAAGTACAGGGGTCTGCACCTTGATGAATACTCAAGGTACATAATAGAGGCCAAAGGATAGGGCCAGGAAATGGTACTATAAAGGGACCCACAGAAAAGGGTAGAATCACTGTTGCACTGGAAAGAAAAAGACATGCAAGTAAGCATCTTTGATGACCACAGAAGGAAAGTTGGAGGCAAGAAACGGAGGAGTGAGTAGGGAGCTGAACTTCCATTTCCCTCACCCAAGCATCTTAGGTCCAAGCTGTGCAAGTGTTCAGAAAGGCTAACAAATGTCCCCCCACTTTCCAGAGTGCACCTTCATGCAGAGGAAGGCTTGTCTGAGGATTTGGCAGACCTTGTACAGTCCCACTGCAAGGGAGAATTTTCAAGTTTCCTGGAGCTCAGCTTTAAGGCTTCCTGTATTCTTCAATGGACAAGAATGAAGATTGTTTTCCTCATTCGCTCTCAAATTTTTTTATACATTTATAAAGCTGTCAATTACTGGGCTCAGATTCTAATATTGTAGTCAAAGGGAAAAAAACACAGAGATGGGGGTAAGAACGGTAGAGAAGCAGAAAGACACCGTGCCAGAATTATTTTTGTTGCCCAAAAGAGTGGAAAGCCATTAGTGAATGGAGGGGGGGGGGGGGGGGGGGGCCCTGATTTCTTTTTATGACACACACACACACAAAGAATACTAACCAACAGGTTTCTTGTCTCCAGAATGGTTTTTGTGCCAGTTTTTCAGCCATCTAATAAGCTTATTAGCACAGCTTTGCTCTCCCTGCTGCCCTATGATCCCCTTTAGCGATGTTGGTCTATATTTATCTACCCAGAGTAGGCTCTCTGTCTTGCCACTAGTTGTTCCCCATTCCAGTGATCTGGTGGAGGCTGGCTTCTCCTCCTGTTTTAGATTAGTCTTTATATGAGCACTTGAAATCTCTGCAGCAGTTGCAAGTTTCTTCGCCCGTGGTGATTCTCTCTTCTGTGGGGTAAATTTCCTCTTTGCCGGGCTTTGTTTTTTCACTTCTGGCTCTTTTTTCTGTTCTGGGGTCTTTTCTGCTTTCACTTTCACCTAAACAGCAAAATAAATACAAACTATCTTGTTATAATTGTGCAAATATAATACATTATTCAATTATGAGTAAAGTGCAGTAACCTATAGCAATTCTTTTGAAAAGACCCAGTAAAATAAAAAAAAAATAATTCATAACTCACTAGGAGTTATATACAAATTTCCAAGACAATATCCTTCACAAGGCCTGCTTGAGCAAAGTGAACACTCCCAGCATCTTCCACAGCAGGGATCAAGCAACTCTCGCTGCCATGGGAAAGGGGGGCGGAGGACTCCCACTCTTTCCTGGAGGTGAAGATATTGTAACATTTAGATTGAAATTGTGTCCAATGAAATCCAAAGTAACAGACTTAACCAGGGCAGGCTTCAGTGGAGGGAACTATTTGTTCAGAAGAATCATGCACAAGAGCTGGGGTCAGAGGTACTCAAGCGAGTAGGGTCAAGCAAGAACAAGAGAAAGAGACTGCCCTAGTCACTTCAGTACCCAAACCAGCAACCGCAGGATGGGGGGGGGGGGGGGGGGGGGGGTTGCTTTAAGAGAGGGTAAAGTATAGGAAACTAAGAAAATCCAGAAGGAGGGTTTCCCTCACCACTCTTACTCCTTAAATTCATCTTTTAAAAGGAATGGCTAAAGCTTGTACCTCCTCATTCCCTGGTAACAGGTGGCTGCCAGTGCTGGAACATGGCAGGGACTTAGGCAGCTGAATATTACAGGAGTTAGGCTGCTCAGGAAGGGGCTAACAACCAAGCTGCATAAAGTTAATACACTTCACAGGAGAATGACTGAGAATTCCACAATAGGGCTGTCACAAGAAGAAGCTGGCTAAAACACGAGCCATTGCTTAGAGGACCAACAAGCATGCCTCTAGTGACATTACGTAGCCAACGTCTAATCCAGGTAGGGGACAGCTAGAGCCAGTCCCGGATGACCATGTAGGTCAAGGAGTCCTGGAGAAGAGATACCCTGAGGGGTACCATGAGGGCTGTTTATGTCCTGAGGAAGATAGTAAAGGTCAGGATGGAGTACATCTCCTGAACCCTAATTAGCAAAAGGACTTGAGCAAAGAGTTCCAGAGTGATTGCTGAAGTTGCAGGGTCTCTACAATAGTACAAGGGCGATAAGAAGCAACTAAAGGGTGTACCAGGCAAGGAATTAGCCTTCATACTAAAAGAGGGGACTCTCTGCACCCGAGTGTCAAGAGAAGAGAACCACCAAAGCACCCATCATGATGCAGAATCTGTCCTCTATTTGTAGAAGTAGGGGTACACCTTTGTGCATGGTTTGAGCCCTACAGGATGAGCAGGAGCCAGGCTTGGAGGGCCTGGGGGCACCAACTGCAAATGTATAAAGGGTGGGATTCAACCAACCTCTCCCTAGACCCCTACATTGGGGCTGGAGCACACTCCTACAATATTACTGAATAAGATATCCAGTGCAGGGCCAAAGACGCAATGTCCCTTGCAGGCCAACTGAGACATATGCTGCCAATACATGAAAAAGCAGACAGTTTAAACTAAGATTTGAGGAAAGATTCTAACTGCCTCTTGATAGAATGTAGAAGAACACCTTCCACCTGACTGAGTTCCTGTTAAGGTGGTTTTTGCACAGTGGGAATAGGCCATGGTCTAACAAATCCCCTCAATAAAATGGGAACATCTGTACCACACACTCAGGCGCGACCCAAAACCTCTTAGCTTAAACGCCACATAGAGGAATAGTGGGTGTAAGCGAAAGATCTTTGCAGAAGCAGGAACTCTAGAAGACCAACGGCTGGAGACAGGAGGCTTATAAATACAGAGTAGAAAGCACTTCGTCAGTAAGGTCCAACATGACCCCCTGTAATTATGAGGGGGCAGTAGGAGACTGCAGTGCCTTAAAAGCAGAGTCTTCAGAAATAAGACTGTTGACACTCTGAACCTGGTTCAGAGACAGGATCTGCAGGGGATGGCACTTGAGCGTGTTGAGAGCCTCTGCCGTCAGGATGCATATAGAGTTGAACACACATAGCTGAAAACACCTGAACAAACATGCAGGTTCCTGAGGACAGGGCAGGGGACTCAGCCCCACCTGAATAATCTGAGAAAGTGTAGCAATATATGTTCAGACTGAGAACAAAGGGGTAACAGGTTTCAGTTTATAGATGCTAGTTCCCTCAGGGGACACTGGGTAAATGTCCCCAGAACAGTAACCCTTTTTTATGTTCCTAATGTATTCTCCTAATCTTATAGTTTCCTAGCAGTCCTACCTATATACTGGAGATGACAAGGACATTCCAGCAAATATGTAACATAAGTACTATCACAAGAAATAAATTCTTTAATCTTATAAAGACAACCCATTGGAACATGACCGAAATTTTATATAACTCTTATTCTTATCACCTTTCATATTTTTGACTGTGGGATCTCTGGAAAATACCCTAGTGTTGTGGCATTTTGGATTCATTTAAATGCTGATTTTGATTATTAAGAATGTGAGTGGCTTGGTACTTGAGTATTGAGTTTAACCAAGTGTTGCAGTATTACGCTATATATTTGTTTTTTCCCTACATTGCACTGAGTGTTCTTGGAGAGTGGAGTCTGGTGATCCTGGAGGTTGGATTTACTGTGGAGTGGAGATCTGGAGGCTTATTGACTGGGTCTAGGATCCCATAAAAACCCTAAAGGCATTTTTTTTCACCAGTATCTGGTGAGTGCGGTATAAATTTTTTTTGAGCACTACCTTTGGTGGAAGAACGTTTCATTTCTATGGGAAGAATAATAATATATATATATATATATATATATATATATATGTATAAAATTTATTATATTACTTTAGAGTGATATAAATTTTTATTTTTTTTTATATATATATATATTTTTTGCACTGTTTTTATGTTTTAAATATTTTTTTGGTGTGGGTTTACACTGATGAGCAGCAACATTTATTTGTATATTTAATTTGTTTAATTTTGGCGCTGTTGATTTATGTTTAAAACAATCCAGGATATCCCCACAAGTACAGTCCAATGGGGTTCAGGTATGGCCTCCAAAGCTAGGCTAAGG